ATCTACATTAATAATCGATTAGCTGTCCGATAAGAAGACATATTTACACAGCTGCGCTTATTTACGTATAAATTCATTTCCGTACCACGAACAAAACATATCGACATTTCAATCATATCTTGTCAGCTTGTTTGCCTTTTTATATGCGGGATGATTGTTTCGACTGTTGGGGCCGATAAATTTCTCAAGAAATCTTAGTTTGTAATTATTTATTTTTTACAAGTAAGAGCGATTTCTTGTTTTCCCTTTGGTGACACGCGCCGTACAAAGTTGCGTTACTCGTGGGATATCTGTTTCCTAAAGTACTTGAACTGACCACTTTTAACTTTAAAGTACGACTTTGTTGTTAATATAGTGTTGAGTTTACGTTCTACAAGTGATAGATAGACCCTTACAAAATGTACGCACTTGGCTCTTTCCTTAAAGTATAGTACTTAACGCGAGTCTCTAAACGGACTCAAGAATGCGCATTGTTTATTTGTCATGCTTAAAAATTAAATATTTGATCTAAACATTGATCTGTTTATACGTCTCACTGCCAACAGGAATATTGCCTGTGCTGTAGTCTCTATTTTATGAATTTTCCAGTGAACTAAGGTAGTATTATCTGAGTGGTGTCAAGATTTGAGTAACCAATCTTGCGATAAACATTTATTGCCGGTTCATTTTAATGGTTCAATGTGCGAATTTAAGTTGCAAGTTGGATGAAAAGTTTCATCGAAATTTGAGTAGTGTAATACACTTGCGACACAAAAGCATTCCCCTGAAAGACGTACTCTGGGCTGAACTTCATAAATATAGAAACAGGATATTTCTCCTTGAGTTGAAAACCCCTTTGATGCATCGCAGGTGAGCTGCCGATCACTTTATGGATTTGCATGTGGCTAGCAAGGGCTCTAGTTAAGTCTTATATGAAGATACAATTACATAATTCCAAATATCTTCCAATTTTATGGTAGGTAGTGTTTGGCTTTAGTAAATGTTCACTAGAAATTGTGGGCAACTAGACTAGGCCACGACAGTTGTACTGTGCGACGACATAAGCGGCGATGTGGTTTTTATACGTTAAAAGGGAGTCATGAGGAGCTTTCCTTTTAAAAATTATCAAGCAATAGTACTAACGCGTTCGTTGTGTCCTTTAAGGTTACTTCTTTTTACCTGTTTTTGAGTACAAACTCCTTGAATCCAATGATGTGGTTCCTTCAAGCTCTACTTCACACTCATAGAAGTACTTGTGCCCAGGATGTTTCTGTCCTCTTGAAATCGAGGTGCTGCGTCCGCATACTTTCAGCGGTAAAATTGCAAAGAATAAGCTCTCTGCTTAGTAGTGTATTTTTCATACTTTTGAGAAAACCAACTCGATGTTTGTCCTTTCGTTCCGAGCAACTTTTGCACAATTCCAAATACTAGCCTGCTTGCTGGACGCTTTTTGGCTGTTAAGTGCGTGACGCGATTGACGTTCTCAAGTCCTCTAAACCGTGACGTTCCATGTTGCATTCAGCTGAAGCTTAGAAGTACGTGTGTCTTTTTTGTGTTGTTCTGTCTTGTTTTGTGTGGTGTTTTTGTGGTGCGATGACCGCAAGAAACCTCTAATCACAGTTGCGGTCGATTTTCGAAGACTGTTCCATACTAAGGTCAAACTTTCAGTGGTGGGCGGTCACTCGTGACATCTACGTATCTGAAGTGAAATGAAGAATATTTTCCTTTGATTTTTCTCTAGGAAATTCAGTTTTTAAAGAATCCTAGTCTTATGGCCACGCTTCTTTCTACTTATACTAGAACGGATATTTACTTTGTGGTCAATCAAAACAGTTATTCTTGCAGTTAGCGAGCTTCTCAATGGGGTAAGGACTCGCATTGATTTACAGCATAATAATCTAATGTCAGCAGAAGGAAGTCTGATCAAAGTTCTTCAGAATGTTTCAGTATCCCTAACTTATCCTTACCTTTGAATCCATTTCACTTGTTTCTACTAAGTATTCTACGATCCGATTGACGTTGATTTCTCTTGCTTTGGTCGACGTGTAAATCTGCCGCTGTGTCGATCAGACCGTATTGTTGTTTCTAACTTGTCTTGTTTTCCGTAGTTAAGCGATGTGGAAGTTGAAATAGAGAAATAAGGTGGTCAACCGCCCCACATTTCATTTGAGAAAGCAGTATGAACGTTGGGTGAAAAAGCAAGGCGTAAATTGCTTCCATGGGATAGCTGATACTTCTACACTCAAAGTATGAAAAGGAATGTGAAATTTCTGACCCCTGTTATAACGCGGTTGAATGGTTGAAATGTTCTCATGTGACTAGATAATGCGTTAATATGATATTAGGTAACTTCCATATTTGGCCAACTTAATGCGTTGTGAGTCATGCTTGCAGTTGTTTGTTTGATTATCTGACTGTGCTGGCATCTGTTTTAGACCTCAGACTTCGTAATGTTTGTTGAAACAATAAGGTTTGCTATACAGTGAAGTTAATAGAAAACAGTGGGACTCTTAAAGCAGATACGTGCACTTACAGATTTGCAAGTCTTTACATAATAATAATTATAATTTTTAATTAATTATTCATAGATTTTTTGATCCGTCTTATACTCTTAGACGTTTATACAGCCATTAATTTTAAAGCGTAGCATAGGCTGTAAAGTTTGCAAACTATATCTGCGCGGCCGATAAACATAAGGGTCGTGGGTGAATCATAAGAGTTCAGTGAGAGTTTGGTTGGATTTAATTTTGATCTATGCCTATGAAATAAACGAATGGAAACTGAAAGGTAAAAGTCAAGCTTTACAACGCAACACTGTAATTTTCCGTTGGTGTTATTACTATTATGTATTAAGATGGGCCAATTTCTGTTTCATTTAATCGTTACATTTCTTTCTAATCTAAGCTTGTAAAAATTCAGAATTGGGGAAGAATCGTTTGTTTTAAAGCTGTTTCTAGCACTGTTATTCTGATCCTTCATATTTATTTGATGCATCCTTTTACATTTACATCATTATAAATACCTTTCACTGCATAAATGAGTGATCAAGCAAAAAGATATTCAAATGGTAAGCAAAATACTGACCTTGGGTCCTTCCTGGGCCGATATCCGTAGCATCTCAAGTCTCTTGAAAGTTCGTCGATCGTGATCTTTTATTTTTGACATCGCACCAACTAGCATATCAGCAGGTCTTCCGGTACTTTCTTCCAATAAGATTGGGAACTTAAATCAAATAGGTTTATTTTTCCTTCTGAGAGCGGGAAGTCTACGTTGACAAAGTTGTTAAATAGTTTCTTCTAATAAGGAAAATGCCTTTCTGAAAAGGCCAGCTAGGTTACCTGATCTGTAATAAACTCGAGTCCACAATACACCAAATAACAATCTTGGCTATCTTGACTATGTTGGCGGTATGAGTAACGTTAGTGGCTCTGGTGTCTGTCTTAAGCTGTTCCGTTAATAGCTCTTGATTGTTTGGACTAAAAACGAAGTCATATCTTGTGGCTTTGATTTACCGATTACTGATAGCTGTTGCAGTGACAGTGAAGGCTACACGTTGTGTATGTCCTTGGGACCTTTGAGTATTTGCACTAGTTTGCAGCTCCGTGAACTCACGCACACAAAAGCTGAAAACCTGACCTTTCCTTTTCTGAAACTGTGCATAAGCATCAGCTCATGATTATTTGGATTAAGAATGAAGTCATATCTTGTGTCTTTGATTTACTGATTACTGATAGTTGTTGCAGTGACACTGGAGACTTCACTTTGTATATGTCGATGGGACCTTTGATTATTTGCACTAGTTTGCAGTTCCGTAAACTCACGCACACAAAAGCTGAAAACCTGACCTTTCATTGACTGTATCCTTTTCTGAAACTCTGCATAAGCATTAGCGCACACTAAACGAAAATGCGTAATGTGGCCGCACTTTTAGATTCTTTACGTTCTTCACTTACATTATTTGATTGATATTCTTCGTCCAAACATCAAAATAGCTCCTTGCCTTTCTGCTTTGGCTGTTACAGGTGCAAACGGTGTGCCCGTGTGTGTAAGACACCATGGGGTAAAACGGAAACGTCCCGGGTGGGCGGAACGCGGGGGAGGGGAGGATTCTACCTGAGCTTGATTTCCATGTAATCGTCGGACGGTCTCAATCTCCTTTAATTTTTGGGACGATCGAGGGGGGACGATCCGGACGATGATATGGAAAATATTCTATATACAGGTTTTATACAGGCGATTGCAATCGACCCAGTCGCGTTGCATCAGTAATCAAGGCAGTTAATTCCAGATGATCGTGTCCATCACCTGAACACATTTTCAGGGGACGCGGTTGATCTAGACGATTATATGGTAACCAGCCTACAGAGTCAGCATATATCTAGACTTCAGCTCTACCTAGGCTATTGCGATCGCCACAGTCATCTGGATTGCCTTGCGTCGTATTAGAGGTGTTCCTATAAGATCGTCTGGATCGTCTGAACACATTTTGAGAGTAGTCGAGCGATTGAGACGACCTGGACAATTATATGGAAACCATGCTTTAGAACACCTATCTCCGTCATGGACAAAACGCTACTATGTCTTATTGCGACGAAATATGTTAGCTTGCGAAACCGTTGTTTATAGAGCATGGTGTTCCAAGTCATCCTTTTAGGAGTTGAACTCTTCTTTTGGGGACACATTCTTTTGCTCCAAGAAATTAACATGGCCGACGTTAATGGAGTAAAGAGGCACAAGCGTTTCTTGCAGGGTGTGAAAAACACAAGAAACAAATTCAAATTTGCCCGTCAGTTCTTTATTCTTTCATTTGAAACAAACAACAACTTAAGAACGAGTAAATATATTACAATGCTTTCCTCGCTCAACTCAAATAAATAACTCAACCGTCTTTGTGGATTATTTTTTACCTTAGATAAATACTTCAACTGTTTTTTTTATCATATCGTTTTTATCAAAGTAAAAGTTAGAATCAGTACTTGCTCGTTATACCTGGATTTTTGAATTTTAAAGAGTTTCTAGGAGAGCGATAAGACTAGAAATTAAGCCAACGTTTCGTCTTTGTTTCGTCTCGCTTCCATCTGTTGAATACAGAAAAAAAAGCATTCTTACTAAAGGTTTACAAAATTAAATTTTGAATCGGAACTGCTATACCTCGTGCGCCTGTTTAATGCCGTTAAATGCAATTCCACTTAGTTGACAATAAAGAGTAGCCGATGCCTATTTCCCTTTCGTAAACGGTTGTTGCCATTTTTAGCGGTTGATGCCACCATTGGTAACCAAGTCTTTAGTCATGATGGATGTAATATATTCCCCGAATTAGTTACAATAAGGCAAATAATACGTTTTTCAATAGTCTTAGAAAGAACGACGTTGAAGGCCAAGTTGAATTTACGTTAAAAGTTTTGGAAAGGGCTAGGGTTACCTGTTACTGATGCCTCGGTTAAGAAAGACAGTTTACTAGTTTGTGTAAATACCTTTTTGGGAATTTTGGCTGGTCGGTGTGGTAGTGTAGTGGTAAGGGAGAGAGAATAGGATACAAAAGGTCCGTGTTCGACCCTGGGTTGCTATCTTCTTTTTTTTAATAGAAACACTCTCAATAACAGGTCGAAAATATTTTAGTGTTAGAAATAGCAGCAACCGTTTATGAAAGGGAAATTTGCGCAGCCGATATGCCCATTGTGGTCAGCGGCAGCAGAGTTCGGCACATGCTCTGAGCACTCTCGGTGTTTTTACTATCTAAGCTCATTCGGTTCAGTGTGTTGAAGGTTGGCGGCTTTTTTCTGTGGAGTGCGTTTTTCGTGTACATTTATGCCCCTCCGTTCCCATTCCCTTATTTTCCATTGTAAACACAGTGTGACGGGTGCCTGAACGACTCGGTATGGTGTGGGGGCTCATGATTGCCAGCCATGGGAGCGGTTTTCTTTCTGGGGGCAGAAGGTCCTCAGACATCCCAGGCACCTATCTCCCATCCACTGCGATGCAGTTGTTAATTTTTATTTACAAACGATAGAGAGGTTTAAGAACATATGGTCAGTTTAATGACACTTGATACACAAAACAAATAATGCTTTAAAATACATGCTCTTTTGTGTCGTGTTTAGGTTAATAAATAATTGAATTATTCTAAATAATTGAATGATCCTTTTCTTATTACGCTAGGTAAAGGTTGGGTTTCTGTATTTACGTTATGGTTAACTGTGAACATATAAAGTTTGGCGTTTGCTCTGTACTTACCCAAAGGAAAATGTTTCAATTTGGTTCAGTGCATTGCTGGACTGGAAGTCCTTTGTCGGAAAAGCGATACTGAAACTTAAAAGTAATGAAAATAATAATAAAAAAATGGAAAATCACTACTACGAAGAGGGTTTGGGTATGTGATACGTATGGCCCTTTTTAGTTTAAAAGGATACGTCCACGAGGACGTACAATTCAGATAAATTGTTCCAATCGAGATAAACAGCAAATTCCTTTTTTAGAGTCCAGTACGGTGTGTAAGCACTGTTAATAGGTTTTCATCCACAGACACATAAGTCTCAGGGAATTTACCAGAAGCTGGAAGCCAGTTACCGGCAGCAGTGTACTCTAAGCATATTACCCGCTTCTTGGCGAAATAACCGACTCTCGAACTAAAATTCTAACTTTTCCCTCTACGTATTGGACCCTACAAGCCCTTCTATTTTAAAAATAATGAAAACCCTGGAAGTTAGAACCCACCTTGCATACCTCCATAATTGGCTCTAGGGATGAAGGGGTTACTAATCTCCGGCTACCTATCAACAGACCTGTCTTGGTATGCGTCCCATACTCAGCTTGGGCTCTGAGGCAATTTTCTCGTCTTAGATCCCTTTTTCAATCAGTTAAAACGTTTTTAAGTTTCAGTGAAGATTTTTATTTGACTTTGAAAGGTTTTATAAATTTATCAAACCATTCTTCTAATATCTGGGGTGCTTTCCATTTAGGCAAAATGTCCGGTTGGAAATTCCGGAAACATCCCGGGTCAAATGGAAAAGCTCTCTTTGCTCGTGTGAACAAAAAATCCACCAAAATGGACGTTGTAGCACTGCCCGGTACTTTGCTACAATTTCGACGAAGAAAGTGAAACTTTGTCCAAAAGCTAAATAATTTTGACTTTGTGGCCATAGCAGCAGTTTGTTGCTTTTTTGTTAGAAGAGATATAAACAGAGTTCAAAACTACCTTGAGTCTAAAGATGCAGATGCCATTTTGAACGATACGATAAGAAGTGAAAAGAAAAACTGCGACTGCCCATGACCAACCCTCACCGGCAAACATTGGAAATGGCGGGAAAAATTCCAGGCGCCAGCCGCCGACCGAAACAGAATTGCGCAAATGGATCAGAAATTTTTGTTCCAACCGGTTGGAACGGAAAAAGTAGAATACCTCGGAAGGTCGCCCATTAATTCGGAAAAAATTTCCGATCGAACTGCGCCCCAGGTCTACCAAGTCTCATTTTATTTCAAAAAGCATTTATCTTTTCGACAGTCTCTCACGTTCATGTAGAAACTAACCTGAAGAATTCCTGGTACAATAAGCCGTGATGCTGGAACTCTGTAAAAGCCGATAAAAATACTAGATTTAATTTACTTAGTAAAAAGACTCAGTAACTCTTTAATTCTGAATGTTTTCTTCCAAAGTGAATTAGGTGGGGAAAGTAAATACTACAAAAGAGCTTGAAAATACCTGAATTAGATGGTCTTCGTTGGTAGCTTTACTTTCAACTGTGCTAAAAGAAGCTATGAAACGATTTTCAAGTAGGTCTTGTTGAATTATTTTTTCCGTTGTTTTTGACAAGAGAGCACACCCTTTCCGTTGATCACAGCTGAAAAGGGCTGATTAACCGCTATCTGTTATCAAAGCTCTTTTTTTGTTGTCTTGTTTTATTTACAGTTATTTTTGTTACTTACACAATTGGCCAGTGAATACCGCTTGGCTGAGTACACTGCTCTATTTTCTTCCCGTTCAGAGTGTATCCAGGCCTAGGAAAATACTGAAAAAAAAATAAAACAAAAATATTACAATGATGAGATAGAGGAGATATTTACAACAATTTATGTTGTAAAATACACAGTACCGTTCGAATTTGTGTAAAATTGTTCGACCATTCTCATAGTGTTAATAACAATAATAACAAGATGCTCTTAGTTGATAACAACATTTCGAGTTAGATTTAATGCAGGGTTTCTAATTCTTGTTCTTGCCACTCCTGAAAAACGCGTGTAATTTTTTATGCGGTGGAGGAATATGATCTAATGAATTTTTATTGCTAGGGGAATCCTGAATGTACGTGTAAAAAAATGTGTCATTAACAGGAAAAATGTTGGAGTTCCAAGTCATGGAAAGCTTTTGAAATCAGATATTGGTTTCTCTAATTGATACAGACCATTTNTGATGAGATAGAGGAGATATTTACAACAATTTATGTTGTAAAATACACAGTACCGTTCGAATTTGTGTAAAATTGTTCGACCATTCTCATAGTGTTAATAACAATAATAACAAGATGCTCTTAGTTGATAACAACATTTCGAGTTAGATTTAATGCAGGGTTTCTAATTCTTGTTCTTGCCACTCCTGAAAAACGCGTGTAATTTTTTATGCGGTGGAGGAATATGATCTAATGAATTTTTATTGCTAGGGGAATCCTGAATGTACGTGTAAAAAAATGTGTCATTAACAGGAAAAATGTTGGAGTTCCAAGTCATGGAAAGCTTTTGAAATCAGATATTGGTTTCTCTAATTGATACAGACCATTTGTTATAGTGTAAAGAGTACTTTGAGAACGTAATGCAAGTTCTTACATGACATAGGGTCTTGGACAGTAGCAATTAGTGACTCCCTTCCCTTCAGTCACATGCGAAAAAAAAAAGCTATAAAAAAATAATCAAGTTGAAGGTTTTTACCTCTTTTCCAGCTGAAGCCATCGGAACTGAAAACAAAAAAAAGCAAATGCTACAATTATTGAATGAGCCTGAGCGTGATAGTGTGAGTTATCGAGGCCGAGATTGTATTATCTAATGAAGCCGAAGGTAGAGGGGAATGACACAAGACGAAGCCTTTAAAATTCTCGCTATCAGGCGGAAACCGAATCCAATAATAGTTTTATTCTGTACACACATATGTTAACCACAACGCACACAAGAAGCAAACAATGAATATCAACTGAATGTCATAACGTTCTAAAGCATGTCCTTGGGACTTATTTCCAGACCATTCTTAGACATTTACCTGTGAAGCGTAAATGAGAAAGCCCTGAGGTTTTGTAAAATACTTTTTGAATCTTCAAAGTTCTAAACTGAATTGCTGCTCTAACTGTTTGCAGCTCGCTAAGTGGTATCGTACGAAAACACGATCTCTTGACGAAACCTATGACGGCACTTTTTGCATTTACAAAACTTTTGTCTGTTAAAATGACATCACTTGTTTGTGCCTAAAGACCATTGTCTGTAAGAGTGACGCAACGAAACTGGTACCGGCTGGAATTAGTAGTTCCCCTTTAACCAGTCAGACTTAAGTTAGTGACGGAGTACTTGTAAATATAAGGGCACCCAATGGGACAACTGTGACTTAGTCATGGGTGGGCAATAAAAGAGCGACAGGGTTAATTATTTCAGTCATGGTAAAAGTAGGTTCCTTTAGAGAACCAGTGTTTAGTTTTATGCCTGAATTGTATGTATTAACTTGGAATTTGGGAGTTCCCTTTGTTTCTTAATATTTTGTTTAAAAGGGCTTGATTGGAGAAATCTGATAAGTACTTAAAAGATGAAACATTCGTGGATTTGTGGTTTCAAAATCCGGAAGAAGTCTTTATGACCTTTTGATTAGCTATTCGAAACAAAAACACAGCTGCATCCCGGCGTGTGCTAAAACCGAGACGATATCCTTTGCTAATCAATTTCCGGTCCCCTGGCCTCCACTAACTGAAACAACATTAGCATCGCTTTTCCAATTATGATATCTGGCTTATGTATTGTTCGTTGTACAAGCCGGATGATTTTTGATGGTATTGGATTGTTAATTTTAATACACAAGTTTGATGGCAATTTAAAAGACGCGATAGTTGGTTGGTTTACACGTGGAAATTTTATCTCCGGAAGTATTTTAACTTACGATTTTAGTATTGAAAGTCCAAAATGGTTTTTTAAATACCGTTCAGTTTAGTGTACTACAGGTGCCAGCTAAACCCATATTAAATGTAATTTTTTTTTATTCTTGGCAAGTCCCTAAACACACTCGTGCTGTAGTCATTGTTTATTTGTTATGCCTCAAAGAATAAGGTTACATTTTTGGTCTGTATAGTGATCTGTTTAAACGTCGAGAATCAAGATTATTACTAAAGTCTCTTCCATATCTTGATTTCGAAAAGAATTTGAAAAAAATTAGCCGAGGTAGTTTGCAAGTGTGACCATCTAGTGAATACAGCATTCAAGTGAACCCGTTCAGAAATTAAAGTAGATCCATGTTTTGAATCCTAAAAGCAATAGGTTTGATCATAGTTCAGGTTTGATGAGGTTGATGATTTACCACTAAATCAAAGATTGAGTGTGTTATTAATATATTGTGGCAAAGCAATTGTTGCTAATCTAATGATGTCTTGCAACTCATTAAATCGAAGTCTGGAACATTATTATTTATTGGGCTTAGATGTCCCGCAATTTTACCAACTGACTTTTTCTTCAAGTTTATTATTTGTAAAATTTCGTTCACTTTTCTTGTAAAATCCACGTTTTCGACTGACTGTCAAATTTAAGTTGTTCGATTTGTTGATAAAAATGTTGAACTTTGATTTGATGGGTTGCAAAACTTAAATGATAATGTATCATTCCAGTACTGTTCAAAACAAGGACAGAGAAATGTTATGCTAATACTGAGGATTTGTTTCAAACTAATTTATTGAAGAATAAATTAAAGCAGTTTGGATTTTTAAACTCTTGGTCTTGTTTTCTTTTAGTTGATATTTCATTTCCTTCCAATTTCTTTCAGTTTAGGGATCAAAACTTGAGTTGTATCTTCTGCCTGTAGTTTAACTTACAAAGGGCTCCTGTCATGGGATAAAGCAAGTTCTCCCTCTGTGTTTAATCAACACATTCCCAACAAAACTGGGCCATTATATATTAAGTAGTTTCCATTGACTATTTTCCAATTGCCCATAATACACTCTGTTTGCCCCCCAAATTTTGCATAACTTATTGTCTTAAAATGCTCTTGGGAAAATGCAATACTCCCAGGAGCATTTAAAAACAATGGTTTATGCAGAATTTGGGGGGCAAACAGAGTGTATTATGGGCAATTGGAAAATAGAGAATATAATTCAAGTTTGTAGTGGAAAGCCTCCTTTAAATAACTGTGACAATAAGATTCCAACACTTGTACTTGCAACTATTTGAAAGCAAAGGCTTCTTAGAAGATTTTGATTGTGGTAAAAATTCTGCCCTCCCTTAAAAATGGGTACTTGGAGTAAGCTTCAGTCATCTCCTTGACTTGTTCATTCTGGGCTAAAGGGCTAAAACTTTCATAAAATCTCCAAGGAGTGTGTAACTTAAATAGGGGGCTGAAATTTAGCATAGCATACTGCTTGTATTCTATGTTTGGAGACGAACTCAAGAAGGCTCTTTATCTGGGATATTGTGAGAGGTCATGGTTGAGTGAGTTATGAGAGACTCTTTTTTTTTATATGAGAATGTTGTTTTTCCGGCCCAGGCTGAATATTCTTATTTTTCTGTCGATTTTAGGCTGAAAATATTCTTGTATTATTCTTAAATTATAGCTTATGAAATTTCCGTTTTAGAATTTATTGGGGTATATGTATACATATTACATGTACCGTTCATCGAACTGTCATTAGTGTTGAACATTTTGCTATAGCTAGTGCAGGTTTTTTCGTTTTGTTGGCTAGTTTCGCCGTTCAGAGAAAGGAATAATTTTATACGGTTAAGTTAAAAACGTAAAATTGTATTGTATTTACAGATGTTTCAACACACACAATTATATCTGTCCTTTTCAAAATCTCAGCCTTGGCTTTATTCTTAAAATATTCTTAATATTTCGCAAATATCAGCCTCGATATTCTTATAAAATATATTCTTATAAAAAAAAGAGTGTAAGCAGAGGATTTGTGAGATAAGTACCTATCTCTCATAGCTCGCTTACTGCCCAGACAGAGAGCTTGATTGCAGTCTGTTTGGAGCTGATTATTTACGTTGTGTCGATAAGGACAAAAATCAATATCATCAACGCGCCAAAAATGCCTGGAACATGCAAAATGTCAAAATCGCGCCTTTTGGTGTTTAAGAGGCGTTTAAGTGGTTCACAAAATTTGCATAGCTTTGCAGAAGAATGCAGATATAAAACGAATTTCAAGTGACTGAAAAAAAGCCATTGCCTCTCTAACCGGCCCGTAACAACAGGAAACCACAGAAATGTTTACATCGGAAACGAGCGAAAAATGCTTGGCAATCGGCCAACAAAACAACCTGTTGGCCGTCGTTGATCCCTTCTCGTTGAATGTGAATGGTGATTTGTTTTGAATGACATGACATGCTTGACGAATCTTTCTTGTCAAATAGAATTAGTTCCTATTCTAAACACAACTTGCTGCTTACACATCGCTTTATGAGTGATATAAAAATATAGAACGAAGACAAGAATGCGCGGGTGGACAGTTCTAGAACCAAACATCGCGCTGAAACCAACGCGTTCCAGGTTGAGGGCAATATTCTTGTCACGTAGGTTTGTTGCGTCCCTGGCCATTGTGTGAAATTACATTTAATTGGATGTAACATGCTTGTGTTCTTGGTAATTTACAGCCAGCGGGCATCGTAAATACGCAGTTTTTGATTGGTCAGTGACCATGTTAACTCAAATCTTGATTGACGGCTAAGTGGTGTTGAGAATAAAATGGCCATGTGAGGCTTTTTCGCGCCAAGCCTTCTAGTCAAGTAAGATCGTACGTGATTGGCGGTTTTTAAACCGGAACAAAGCCGGCTACGAGCTCAAAGGAACCGTGTGTATGAAAGTGACGCAGCGAATGAACACAGTGTAGTGAAACAGGGAGCATCAAATCACATGTGCTCACAGATCGCAAATCATTCCATTGCATAAATCCTTAGGAGTACTCAAAAAGACTGTGGCTTGCGCCCAGTTTACTCAGATTCAATGCGATTATTTTGAGTCTTCAGTCTACTGAAGTTAGTGAAAAGAAATATTCCTCTTTGAAAAGATTCGAGTGCCACCAAGATTTAAGATAACAGATTGTATATTTCAGCGATGGAATTAAGTTCAACCTGCAAATTAAAGTTTTGAGTTTGTCGAAATTGACATCGAACTTCAAGTGCTGTAGACACTCAAGGTACAAATTAATTAATTTTACTTTGGACGTCTTGAACGGTGGGCTGAACAATGTCTAATTGCATGAAAATATTAGGGAACGGTATCTTTTTCGCTGGCGTTACGTCGAGGAAAAAAACACTGCGGTGCGGTCAATAACGTTTTAACGTTAATCATGTGGTTAAAAAGCGGTCATAGACAATAGTTTTGCGTTGTCAACTTAAATACGTAGGGCTACTCTACTAGTGTATCATTTAAACTGTTCGGTTCAGATATAAAATGACAGATTAGTTTTTGGTAAATTACGACAGGTTAGTTTACTTTTTATGTGGACTAATGAGCATGAAAAACTGTCATTTCAGTTTGCAAAATATGGGCCGTTCGTAAATACTAACATTTTCGACGTAGCGTCTTCTAATGTCACAACTTACCTTTCTTGAAGACAACCTCCTTAATTCCCAAGAAGTGAACGCTCCAAAAACTTCAGATCTTCAATGCTTTCAAGTGTCTTGCGCCTTGAATGTTTCTGTTTCATGAGCTACTTTTCAGCGGGGAAAAATTGCCACACATGCGCACTATCATCAGTGTATTTATCTTTCATTTTTGTGAAAACTTGTTCAGTTCGAGTTTTGTCTCTTAGATTTGAACAACATGTTCACAATTTTTAAAGATACTAAGCTGCTTGCGGGAAGGGGCTTGCGTGACGCGAGTGACGTTCTCCATCCCTGCAAGAAGCAGCGGATTAAACCATGACGTCCCATGTTGTAGTGAACCGGAGCTGAGCAGTACGTGTATCCGTTTAATGTTAATCTTTGTTGTTTTGAGTTGCTTACGAGTGGTTCGAAGACCGCAAGAAACATCTTAACCTGGTTGTGGTTGATTTTCAAAGACAATTTTTTTTCTTTTAGGTCAAGTATTGTTGGGCGTTCACTCGTGAAATCGATCTTGACGTATCTGAAAGAAAGAATATTCTCAGCAGTTTACAAAAGTCAAAATCCTCACATGTATCTTGTGACTCACTACAGAATTATATCACTATGTTAAGTATGAAGTCAAAACAATGTTTCTCTCAGTTAGTGAGCTTCTCAACAGAAAGGACTGGCGATGATCTAGCGCGGAGTAATCATGTGTTTGTCAATAGCAGAAAGTGGCATCTAAGTTTTGATTGCTGGATATCCATTAAAGTTTCCTTTACCTTTCAATTACACTTTCCCCAAACTGCTCTCGTATAGGCAATGACTTCCCTGGCGCTCCAAGTCTCCTGTTGTATCGATCAGACAAATGGTTGTCATGTTTTGCGTTGTGAAGCGATGTGGAAGTTCGCAACTAGAGTGGTCGGTAGTCCCACACTTCTTGTGTCAAAAGCTGTATGAAGCTTACGTAAAAAGAACGGAGGAAGATTTTTCTATGGGATAACCCATGGAAACTCGCCTGTTCTTCTAAAGTATCAGGGAATGTAAAATAGTGACCTCTGTTAAATCGTTGAATCGAAATGTTCTCATGTGATTAGTTTTTTCAGTTTTTATGGTATTAAATAACTTCCATATTTGGTCAAACGTTAGGTTGTGATGGTTCTGTCACGTTGCGATTTCAGTTATTTGTTTTGATTAAGCATCTGTATCGGTCTCGGGCTCTTCCTTACCAACAGTGTAATGTTAGGAAAATTATATTTGTTTTGTGCGCTTCCAGACGTCCAAATCTTAACATGGAAAACAAAAACGAACAAACAAAGAAAGGTTTAAAATTGTTCATTGAATCGTGGTGTGGAAATTCTGATCGGCTTTATCCATGCAGGTATGTAGAAAAAGAATCACTGCCGCAAACTAATCTGTAAAAATCAAAATCACATTTTTTTATTATTATTATTATTTTTTCTACCCATCGTCAATTAACTGAAGGTCGGCTTATTACAGTTTTATTCTGATCATTTCCTCTTGAGCGTATAACACTCCTTCGGTGAAATTACAGTGCATTCGTTACCCTTTCTGTTTCCGGTATGTAATCTTAATCTTTCATATTAATTTCCGGGGTCATTTCTGTCTTTTTAAGCACGGTTCTCAACACAATTGAGAGGTCAAGAAAGTTTGCCAAGTGCAGGCAAATATTGGACCACGGTTCTGCCCACTGGTGGATTTTGCCGATAGGGCGATATCCAAGTATCGCTTGTCTCAGTGATCGCCTATTTTTGGCACGAATTGCAACAACTAGAATATTCTCTGGTACTTCCTGCTTACAGGTGCGGATCGAAATGAAATTGTTATTACGAACATACTCCAAATCAGGTGGTACGTGCTAATATTTTTTTCTTTTCAAAGTTTTCCTTTTATTCCTTTCAACGCTTGATGGGTTATTTTCAGTGATTTTATCAGTTTTGACTGGTCAAAGGCGAACGCTTCAAACAGAAAACATAAACGCAGAAAATGTGGATCGTGATTTTTAGTATAACATGTTAATACAAGCCCGCGTTAGGTCTAATTATAAGGTATATTTTAGAACAAACGACAGATTTCATGAAAGAGTTGTAAGGTGTTCACCAAAGTCATTTTGGTTTGTCTTTATTTTTTCCTAGAGTGTTACATGTTTTAAGCGCGTGACGAAAGTTGTCAAAGCAAAGCTACAGTTGTAACTTACTAATGCATACAGGTATCTGGTATGGATGCAAAATGCCTAAATATTCAGTCAAAGCGTGTAATTTCGTCAATACGTTGTTTAACTTTTTGAGAATGAGTCAGGTTCAGCCGAGACTGCGATTTATGACTGAGACTCCAGGCGCTTCAGTTTTAGGGACACTAATCATCGCCAGAAGGCACCGTCTGAGTACTAATTAGGCTATTTGTTTTGCATTAGTAGTCTATGTCGACACAGTTAAGCTTATGAATCGTTCAAATTGTAAAGAAGAGTGCGAAATCGTACTAAAGGGTGTCAGAAAGGTAGTCAGTTGTCGAACAGTTATGTAACGTGAGAGGTCGGGTGCTGATTACATTAAGTAGTCCTGGCTTTCGATGTTCCCCGATTTTTAACCGGAGGCCCTGCAGGGACGAAATTGAATACGATTCCGACGTTGAGAAACTAGGAGTTGGCATTACTACTACGTTTAGGCATTGAAATTTTTTCCTGTCGTCTGTTGCTTCGCATGGCAAGGAAGGAAATGGATCAGTTGAAACTTGAGTTCAAAAAGTGGATATTACTGTCCACTTTACAAAATATTATGTGCAGCCAAAAAGGGTTATGTTACACCATCAATATAAAAACAAAGCCAAGCAAACAATTGTACAAATTTATTTTCACAATAGAGTATTTAATAAAAGTAGAAACAGTGCAAAAATAAACACAGCCACAGGGTTAGGCGGTTCCTCGTTTTCCTGTAGAAGATATGATAAAAATTAAGTTAAAACCTGAAGCCGTCTCTTGAAATTATTTCTAAAATACAGTATTAATACAGTCAAACACCAGCCTGCCTTGCAGACGTAATCTAGCCCCGGTTAGTAGTAGCCAGAGAGTTAGTTTCGTCTGTTGCGCAGGCTACTAAACACCGATGTTTCAGTAAATTAGTGTTTGTTTGATAACGCTTTGGTACCTCTCTGCATGCATACTTCTCCCACTCCTTAGCTACCGGGGCAGTTTTAAACATCAGGGTTTTGTAGGTTGCACAAAGCTAACCCTCGTCTTTAAAGACGTACGTTATTAGGAAATGACGCAAAAGCAAAGATCATATTAATTCTTATTTGCGTTGTGTCTAAACAAAAATATTTGGCCCGGTTGTTCAAACATTGGATAGCGCTATCAACCGGATAAATCGCCATGTAGCGGATAATTGTCATTAGTAAAAACTGAATCATTGGATAATGCAATTCTAGAGCTATTATTGGCTTAGCCATCATGGTATATGAGCCATTATACCATGCTCTCCAAAGATGGTAACTGTACGCGTCTGCTCAAAATTTAAAACAACTTGAAAATCGGTTGTGTTTACAAATAAATTCGGGAAGAATTCTCGATATTTTGTGGGTGTATTTCATAAAACAATTATTCCACTCGCGCTTATTGGATATGATATGATTGCGTTATCCACTGGAGAGACACAAATCCAGTCGCTCGGCGTTATCCATTTTTTGAACTACTAGGGCCTGTCTTTTAAAGTGTCCAGTGTATTTGGCGTCGCATGTTAAAGGTGAAAAAAGGGACTGCTAAGTTAGCAAGAATCGGGGAAATCGTCCTCAGGATGTGTCACACATTATATGGCTTTTGAAAAATTTAGTTTATTTATCGATTAGAGCATGGTAAGTTTAGCGTAGTTTTTACCCTCCTAAATTATTGGTGGAAATTTATCTGCGTTAATGAGTATGTGTCTGTAAAAAAATTACATTGATATTTTGTTTTGGCTTTGAGCATATCAAGGCGGGTAAGAAAGGGTTTTGGGGTGCTTGTTTCATCCCAAAGCATGTATGTTTGAACGATTTATAATTTGACAGGTCCATCCAATACTGTTATCAGTAGAAAACTTATACTCCTACGAAGTTAGTTAATTTTCTTAGTTGTGACCTGGAGATCGCATGATCCTGCACAGTGCCTACGTTTTAAAATATAAAGCTAGCGTGAATGAAAACCCAAGGGTAGCACAAGAACCTGGCAGTAAAGTACTTACCTGTGGCTGGCAGCCACGGGCTCTTTCCGAATACACCTCTAAATTCGGTACGGAACTAAGAGTAATATAAAAAAAAAAATTAGTGAGGACAGGTGAAATATCGTAAAAAGAAGCAAGTACTCTTTCCTGTGTAAAACCGTACGTTAGTTCTTTAGACGATTTCGAACACTTGAGATGTTCGCGCAAAATTAGCCCCAAATATATTGTTGTTCTATTTTGCTCATGCTTGGGGAACGTCCAACATTCGAGACCGCCTTTAAAACACGCTGGGGAACCAGCAGAGACCAACTATAGTTTGTTTTACAGTCGTTTATATTTTAGTCACGGTTTTTACTCTTCTTACCAAGTGCGTCGATCAAGTTCATGGTCNAGTGCCTACGTTTTAAAATATAAAGCTAGCGTGAATGAAAACCCAAGGGTAGCACAAGAACCTGGCAGTAAAGTACTTACCTGTGGCTGGCAGCCACGGGCTCTTTCCGAATACACCTCTAAATTCGGTACGGAACTAAGAGTAATATAAAAAAAAAAATTAGTGAGGACAGGTGAAATATCGTAAAAAGAAGCAAGTACTCTTTCCTGTGTAAAACCGTACGTTAGTTCTTTAGACGATTTCGAACACTTGAGATGTTCGCGCAAAATTAGCCCCAAATATATTGTTGTTCTATTTTGCTCATGCTTGGGGAACGTCCAACATTCGAGACCGCCTTTAAAACACGCTGGGGAACCAGCAGAGACCAACTATAGTTTGTTTTACAGTCGTTTATATTTTAGTCACGGTTTTTACTCTTCTTACCAAGTGCGTCGATCAAGTTCATGGTCCGAAGTCTGTTCACCTTCGGCTTCAGTCACTGCTTGGCTTCCCTCATCGTCTACTTCCTATATAAACAGGAGAAAAATGTACCTGTGTGTGACACAAGCTGCAATATGTTTGAGAAAAGGAAGGAGTGTTGAATGGTGTTTCTAGGCAGTAATCTAGGTCGAAATTGAAGGAAAAAAAGAACTACTAGGGTTTTCTCAAGCAACGCTAAAGGTAAAAGCAGTTTTCTAAGGATTGACTCGATATGTTTTGCTGGTCGACTGTAATAGGAATGAACTTTCTCAAACTCATTAATAATTTATGAAGAAAATACAGAAGAAATTAATGTTTAATGAGTGTTTGGAAATAAGAGGAAAAACTGCTCATTTTTGCATCCCTAATTACTCCTTTTAAAATCAATTGTTTGAGTAATATCAAGTAATATCAAGCATTCGACACAGTGTTTCATCGACAGATGGAACACCTCAAAGTTCGTCAAAAATACTTTGCTGCGCGTCGTATTTTCAACTCTCTTCTCAGTGTTTCATCTGGTGATGAAACACTACGTGTCATGCTTGATATATTTCTTGAAAATCGCTCTTATGTACCCTAGATTTTTTCCCCTGGATGGTCCTATCTGTGAAGGGCTCTATTGGCTTAGCTGGTTCTTGTGGGACGTGAGAGCGTGAGAACCCACACCACGGTTCGAAAAGAACAGGGGACTTAGACCAGTGGTGTGGCTAACCTCTCCTGGGGTGGGTGGGTTATCTGTAAGGAGAAATCTTAATATAGGGATAACCTCATTGTCCTCCTTCAGGTGTCGTAATGGTTACCTGTAAACAGTGTATGTATGCTGACGTTGTACTGATGTATAGTCAGAAAAAAGAACTGCAAAAGGCACGGCTGTTTTGGCAGAGCTGGAGAAAATGGCGGAAGAATTCACACGATATACAAAGAAGAAATAACCGAACTACTGCCTGAACACATAGCATGAATAGCAAAAATATTACGCAACAGATGACAAGTGCTACTTGAAGACTGTTTGCTAGAATAAATATCTCGAGTTCATAACCTGAAACTGCCGAGGAACACTCGACGATCAGGCAGGTTATGAAGAAGGGAACTTTACACTGATGGAGGTTAAAGTTGGAAATATTTTGAATAAATATTAAAACAATGATTAGATTAGGCTTTCGTATGTTACGAAGAATTATGCAGAACTAGGAGGTTGTAATCCGTTTTGGCAGATAAGCCCCTCCTCTATCTCCCTGCATAATTATTCATATCATAATCGGCCTCTCCCAACAAGTGCTTATGTATTTTTGTTTTTACAGTTATTTGGACAGAAACCAGCCGCCTACCTGTTGACGATGAGACTCCGTTTCGAGGGAGTATACCACACTGGACTGCTCCTGGCTAGCAAGATCTTCGTCCACGGGTTGAGTGACGCTACTAAATGACATCATAATACGGGTAATTAAATTTTATCAAATAGTATAGTAAATAGTCGTAAGAATAGACCACATTCACAATAGTGTAAATTAGGGATATTGTCGTTTTTGCCTCACTGGGATTGTGAAATTGAACACAGTTCATACGGATCATGGAAAACCTGGAAACTTATGGAATTCAATTGTCGGTCAAGGAAAGCTATGTTTTGTAGGTTAGTTATTGCACATGTCAAAGCAAGGACAATGAAAGATAGAGGAGAGTTATTAAGCAGCGCTAACGGCACGCATTTGTTGGACACCAGAGTTTGTATCTTTTGAACTAAGTTACGTCAAAAAATACCCTAAAATAATGAAGTATTTGAAAATTTCAGAAAGTGAGAGCTAAATCTAAGGTCATGTAAAAGTTAATGAAAAGACATAGGAAGTCATTGAATGTGAAGAGCTCAAAAAAATACGAACCCCATTGAATAAGATGGCGAAATGTGCTTTCTTGTCCTCGCGAAAATGTTTTTCGTTAAATGAACGTTATTAGCGGAAAGAGTGGAAATTTTGGACGCTTTAAACACCATAAAGCTGCTGTAGAAGTCCCAGGAGATTAAAAAGCGGTTTAGTTCAACGTAGCTGTCGGAAACACGAAAATGCACACCAAAATTAAAAGGGCAGAAGTTCTGACCTTCGTCCTCCAGAAGGAGTTGGTAGGTTTTTGAAGGATTAACTGCATAACCATGTATTTGTTTTTCTTACCTATGGTTCTTGTCATCGTCATCAGAATATCCTGACTCGTCGGCTTCCTTTAGAACAAAAAATAAATAAATAGATATAATAATAATAATAATAATAATAATAATAATAATAATATTGCAATAAAAATAACAATAATAATGACGATCATGATCATGATGATGATAATGGTCAACAGCGTCTCATGGAAGTTCTGTACTCTATCGTAACTTTACCACTTTTATAACTCATCGTCTGTATCCTGGTATCACATACCGTATTGTAAAAATCTTTTGATGTGGCCATCTGCCAAAAAAAAAGAGGGAAAAAAGACCTTAAAATTGGTTTAAACAAGACTCAATCTTAAATTATTGCAGAACCGATAGGACATGACTAGCGAGTAGCACTTGGCAATTCTTTAGTTATTTCATTGAAATCGATCAGTTGAATGGTTAGCAGCAGAAAATGAATCGCATAGAAATCTCAAAGTTCCGGAGAGAAAGTGCGGAGGGGATAGCATTGACAAAATTTAGTAATTTTGGTCGAGTATGAACATTGATTAGACCTTGCCATCCACGGAGAGCAGAAAATTTGTCCGTACCGATAAAGGGATCAATATCAGATAACTGAACAATTGGCATGATGATATTGCACTAGTGCTGTGAAGTGGGAAAGATTGAAAGCAATTTTTAAGCCCTTCTCAGATAAACAAGTTCAATATTTACGATGAGAAGGCACAATTCAGTTGTGGTGGAAAATGTGAAACTCTATTTAAGAAGCAACGTACCAAAACAGTTTTTTGAAGTATCACTGATCACAGACGGCGCTTGGACTAAAAATCGCGCCGTTCTTGAAGAAATTCATCAGGCTAGTGAAGTTAAACAGTCGATTTAAATGTTCTTAAAACATAGCCAGCATCAAGAAGACGTTAAGACTGGCTATGTTTAAAGAACATTTAAATCAATCACGCCGTTCGTTTGCGCTCAGTTTTGAAAAAGTCCAAATACGAATAAACGGCCAAACGAAACGAAACTCGTATGATCTGAACATTTACACGGTGATCCCAACCAAGTTATCGTTGGATAAATCTCATGCTTAATGTAAAAGCACAAATATTTTTCAAATCCGTTTAGCTACAATAGTGCTTATTCCAAAACAAACAACGACTGACCGAGAAGTCTGATACTGTCTCGCGCTGAGTAAGGGTTATACACCCGAAACGCTTCTGTTCTGATAGTTGTTTCAGGTCCCATAGCCTCACGTATTTAATCTTGTTTTAAAGTGAAACATTTTATGTGCTGCAGTGCTTTTGCAACAACCTCGTAAATAAGTTGATGTCATATTTTCATTTCTTGTAAATCCATGAAGCTATTTGTTTCTGTTTGTTGCCTAGTGTGTTTAAAAACGGTAATATTGTGTGCTTGCCTTTTTCGGTTTTTCTTTGATGCTTGGCGCACACGTTTTTTTTTAAGGTTGTCCTTTTTCACCAACACGACAAACGCTGGACCCAGCGGGCTAAGCGGTTTTAAGTTCACCCTATATATTGGTTATGGTGAACAGAGTCAAGAAGAAAAACACACACTAAAGAAAAAACGTTTCTAACACTTAACGTTTAACAAGCAGGCATGATGTTTTGATTTACGTATATGATGACACGGAGATAGTACTCACCTTAAATTATTGTTGGAAATTTATCTGCGTTAATGAGTATGTGTCTGTAAAAAAATTACATTGATATTTTGTTTTAGCTTTGAGCATATTAAGACGGGTAAGAAAGGGTTTTGGGGTGCATGTTTCATGCCAAAGCATGTATGTTTGGACGATTTATACATGTAATTTGACAGGTCCATCCAATACTGTTATCAGTAGAAAACTTATACTCATACGAAGTTAAGTTAATTTTCTTAGTTGTGACCTGGAGATCGTATGATCCTGCACAGTGCCTACATTTTACAATATAAAGCTAGCGTAAATGAAAACACAAGGGTAGCACAAGAACCTGGGCAGTAAAGTACTTACCTGTGGCTGGCAGCCACGGGTTCTTTCCGAATACACCTCTAAATTCGGTACGGAGCTAAGAGTAATACAAAAAAAATTAGTGAGGACAGGTGAAATATCGCAAAAAGAAACAATTACTCTTTCCTGTGTAAAACCGTACGTTATTTCTTTAGACGATTTCGAACACTTAAGATGTTCGCGCGAAATTAGCCCCAAATATATTATTGTTCTATTTTGCTCATGCTTGGGGAACGTCTAAGTTTCGAGGCCGCCTTAAAAACACGCTGGGGAACCAGCAGAGACCAACTATAGTTTGTTTTACAGTCGTTTATATCTTAAGTCACGGTTTTTACTCTTCTTACCAAGTGCGTCGATCAAGTTCATGGTCCGAAGTCTATTCACCTTCGGCTTCAGTCACTGCTTGGCTTCCCTCATCGTCTTCTTCCTATATATACAGGAGAAAAATCTACCCGTGTGTGACATAAGCTGCAAGTCTGCTACCAGTCTGTCAGCTCTGACACCTAGTGACACAGCCTTAGCTGGTCGAACCAATCGAATTAAACGGGGAACAAGCTTTGTATTGAAAACGCAAGAAAGTGATTGGCAGATCTTGACTTGTTAACTAGGCTAACATTTATTATTGTCTAATCGACACGGGTGACAGGGAAAACCCGCCCCACTGGGTCTTTTTGTGGAGCTTTGCTCCGCCCAAGTGGGTGCTATAGGTAGCTGTTGTGTCTCATAACAGTGATCGCTGATCAACCGCTGAAGCACCGGCATAGGACGTTAGATTGTTCTGGTTATTATCGGTATTATAGACATATTAAATTCTGCAAGCAGAATACTGCAATGCTGATCGTACTATTATTTTAGCTGATCAGGTCTTTATAGATCCTACGTTCTTCGGCATATTCGTTTGCGGTCCTTTGCAGTCCCTTGTGGTTAATGTTTGTCCGTTAATATCACCGTTGAAAGGTATTTGTTTCAATTCGAGCGAGTCCCGTAAGTTAGTTTTAAAAGCCAAATGAAGATGGATTTTTAAGCGTAGGTAAGACTAGTTATAGGGAAGAGTAACACTCAAGGCTATCAAATATTCTCGGCTTCAGTGGTTACTGGTAAATAGCTGACAATAGGCACAACCGCCTCCGCCTCCTCCACAGGTTAGACAAGACTAATTAATGGAAAGATTGGTTATAAACAAGACAGCACTCCGTACTTAAAATGTTACGGCTGTATAGTTTCAGTTTGTTACTATTGCCAATTATGCTTAATTATGCGCTGTGGAATTTATCATTAACAAAGAGATAAATTGTAAACGACAAATTCACAATTTCTTAGTCCAACAAATGTACTTTCCAATCATTTTATCAAACGTTACAAACAACTAATAGAAACTAAAATGAACTTTGAGAAACTGTAAAGCTAACAAGTTTTCAAAAACCCACAATTTTAATCCGTTTTAATCTTCAAGTTTGTCTATCCGTGTCTATTTGTGTATTTGCTGTGTTTTTTTAAATACCCGATCTCTTAATGTTTTAAGCGAGCATTGATGATTTACTCAATTTGGTGGCAGTTCCTGCTGTAAAATTCGCGACACAGCCCTTTTAAGTATTACGATTACTATCAGATAGCTTTGGCGTCTGTGCTCTCTGGTGCAGGTCATTTTCACAATAAGGATAAAGACATACTTTATCGTTAATATCTTTGAAGTACGTGTCGTTAATAGTCGCTTATCGCGTGATCCTCTTAGCTTTGTGGGGTAAAGGAAGCATGTTTGAGTACACAAGGACAGTGTATTATTGTGTACGGATACTCACCCTATCTTTATTCAATCGTGTCAACTCTGACTAGCTGATCACGAATTGCGAAAATGGCATGACATGTAACCTTTATCAACAGGCGGTCTAGAAAAAATTGTTTTCAGTTTCCGCTTACTGACGGCTGTGTTTATTTAACGATTGTTATTGTGTCTAAATTTAAACATTACACTCTGTCTTTCCGGTCGTTTAGTAACTTTGTTAGCAATATTCCTCAAACCAATTATCATTCGTTTTATTTTCAAATTTGCCACGCTATTCAAATACGGTAAATAAAAGAAAAATTAGATTGAAATAAATAAAGATAAAAAAAAAACTGAAGAAATTACCGGGCTGGTAACTCATGAAAACTGACTATACGACTAATTAAATCAGGCTAGAACAAACATCGCTTCATATCCTGAAACTGCCTCGAACGCGGTCTTAAAAAAACTCGACTACACCTCGTTTTTCAACCCACTTCACGGTATATTGAAATAGGTTGAAACACTTGTTCTCGTGTTGATTTATTACTTAAACAATCTTTCGTGATTAAGCGTTGGTATTGAGTAAAAAAGTTTGCAACGTTTACTTTAAGGTTCTGATTTCTTTTCTAACTTTTTCTCGTGAATTATTAGTAGCGTTCAAATTTTAATAGATTTGCACATTGAGACCAAGTGCTTACCAAAAAGGAATGTTAGAAAATGGAAATTCCCAGCGTCCTAGTAAAGCTGCCTCATTACAGGGAAGCGCTGCTTACTTCCTACGAGTTTAGACAGCCTGTTAGAATCACGGCCTTATTTATGCTCTTTCTGTTTGTGTAAGCGAATCATTGTTTTCACTAAAAAGGCCTCAAAAAGTTTGGAGAAAACAAACTCGAAACGTGTTGTGTTCTATCCAATCAATTCTGTCGTCTTGGGATTAAGAGTTCCACGTTTAGTGACATTTCATGGTCATATCATGTCGTAGCGTATATTCTGCTCCATTCAATGCCTTGATTACTGTATGTTCTAGTATATTTATTATGTGCATAAAAAGTTTGTAGCCATAAATCTTGCTAAGCCGGTTCGCGGGAAATATATCTTATGCTTTTGGTGATATTTCGTTTTGCATGACAGGCTTAAGTTGCCATGGAGACCCCTTGCGTCATATTTCCAAGAAAGACGTAATGTACATTTCCTTCGTTTCTTAAAAACCTTTCCGGGAAAAACGAATTGAAATTTCATTGAATTTTTATCTATACGTTTGCGTTTAGAGTGCATGCAGTTTTCAAACGTAGTACAAGTCAGAAAGAAATGGCGTAAAAGAATTTCAGTCTGTGGACTTTTTGAGACTAAAGAGACACATCAGTCTTCTTCTCTTCGATGGTGAAAACTTTAAATATAACCATTGTACGATGTTTTGCCTGAAAGATTGCTGGTGAGTTGGATATTTGCATTAGCACGTCTGAGTATCGTACTGGGTATGTTTTTATTACAGCCTCTAACTTGCTTTTCTTCAATACCGAGGAACCTCGAAATATCGAACCCTTATATAACGCCTTCAGGTCCTTGGCAGAACGAAGTTTATCTCTTGTCTCAGTGCTAGTCAAATATATGGTAAAGAACCTCCATATAACGAGACCTTGGTATAGCGAACATATTTTGCCAGCACTTTAGCCCTTCGTTACATTGTCTTTCCATTGTAGTAAAGAAGTACTTTTGTAGCGGCAGACTATTCTATCAAAGTCTCTTTCTGAAACAAGAATATTAATCAGATGTGTAGTTGAATTATATAGAAGTTTCTGCGAATCCTTTGAATTGGAATGTTTTTGAGGTTAACTGTCGCTTTTATATGTTATGACGCATCTTCTCTCCTTATCCATACATTTCATTTTAGGCCTCTTACCCCTGCTCTTTGAGGGAGACCTCATTTCTAAGGGTAAAATGGACTTTTCTTTAAAAGAGGTTAAGGGTGCGTCAATAACAGCTAATGATATAGACGCTATAGAAAGAGTATTTGCCGAGCACGCATAACGCAGGAAACCATTTTTTGCCTTAACTAAGGGGTCTAACATGGCTTGCTCGCTAATTTTCGTTTCCGCAAAATTGTGTTTTACGGCGTCTCAATTGGAATTTGATTTTGATTTTGACCCGAATCAGAATTTTGTACCTCTGTGTCAGTAAGATATATTCTTTCTTTGTTTATGTAAGTGTTCTTTGCCAGCCTAAAAGGCGCCATTTTGCGCGTTTTTCACGGGAGCACGAAGTGGGCGCAGAAGGTGAGACCGCGAATAATTAGCGCTTGTTCTCCGGGCTAACGTTTTCTTTGAATATGGCGTTATGTCCCGTAAGACACATTTTATCTTGGTGTCATTAAAGTATCTTGCTTTGAGGGTAGTATAAATGTTAGGACTTTAAGGAGTCACGTCAACAGGGATGACAGTTAACAATTTTTGTTGCATTACTATTTCATCACGGCACGACAAGGAAGTGAACGTTTTCTTTAAATTATTTTACTTTAAAGTATTGAACAACATATATAAACAAAAACTTTGCACAAAATCGAACAGTCAATTTTTAAGAGACATAAAACAAGAGAATGATTAAGATGATAAACACAGCAACATCAGTGTGCTGATTTTCCTGTGGGAGATATAAAAGAAAACTACATTAGCTTGAGCTGTTTATGTTACCAAGTCATCTCAGTTTCATTTTGTTCAACTCCAGTCTAGTTCCTCGCCCAATTTTTTTTATTAGTATATATGCTGGATTTAGATGTACGCACATTTTTTTAAAACACTACTGTCTAACGATTTAAGAAAATTTGTAAAAATGATAATTCCTGTTCGATATCCACTATGTATCACACACAATCGTGTGTTTGCTTGGCCAAATCAAGTCAGCAAAATCAGCTTAATGTTAAGATATTATGTTGTAGCCGAGATTTGATAAAAAAAGTTAATTGCCTAGCTTTGTTACTCTTACCCCTGGCCCAGTAGGGACTTGTAGACATGCTTTACCGCTGGAAGAAAAGAAATTCAAAGCGGTTAGTTTTTTGAAATCAGTTAAATCCACTGAAGTGGGTAGAGCTTTCTGCATTTCTTGCATTAAATTACACTCCTATGATCTGCAAATTTTGTGGAAGGTAAATTGACAAAAAGGAGTGAGCTCTAAGGTTAGTTTGCAGTTCGAATGAAAGGATCCTGAATTTTTCCAACTGGAGGACACGTAAAATATGTCATTTGACTCCTTTTCTATGGTCGAATATCCCCGACTCATACGTCAAAAAGATTAACTTCTCACAACTTGTAAAGCAATCGGTAGACATGATGGTCAGCAGGGTTACCAAAATATCCCTTTTGAGGATTTCGTGAAGCTAAAAGAAAGGTGATGCAGAGATACAGAATGGTTATGATTGAAAAAAATAAGTTGTTTTTGATATTACATTAATTGGCGCTTTGATTCATTATTGATTGGTGGTTGGCAAATTAACAGCTGGGAACAGTGCTTACCAAACAGGGTTATGTCCTCCCCCGGTGTCAGTACATTGTTGCACCAAACGCCCTCCATCCGTGTATTGCCGCTATGAGGAAAAAAAACTCACTTATATTTAAATAAACACATTCTCAGCAAGTGATACATAAATGCCCTTTTTAGTATGAAAGCAGTGTTTGTAACCAAAATTCAAGTACGATTTTAAAAGCGTAAAAATTGCGGGGTAGGTGTTGGCATGTCACATGAACATCATCGTTTTGTGTAAGTTCATTAAGTGTAGCAATTTTTCTCGCAGCTATAATCTGTGACATTAGAACTTGGGTCAATTGAAGGAATAACGTTGACATGTTGTGCTCGACCTCCTTTTCCTTTTCCCCTCAATGTTGGCCACGAACTTGGACAATTCCACCGAAAAACCATTACAAAACAACGTTGGAAGAGAGACAGACAGGTATCGGAGCAGCGTGACCCAAATTGAGTTTCACTGATTGTAGATGTGCATTAAAAGTATGCTGTGCAAAGGGTCATTTTCATTCAACATTGCTTTCTTCAGATATCAAGATTAACCAGAATGCCATGTCAGGTGTCATGCATATTTCAAGAAAGACAACTATAACGTTTACCTCAGGGGAAGATATTTCAAGGTGGCCAGGATTAGAAACAGCTTGGAGGTCTTGAGCAGTTTCACTCACATCATTCTCACTATCAAGAGCATATCATTAAGGTAAAGTAAGTAAATTTTGCATTGTCTTGTTTTCTACATCTGTATCAGGTTGATTTCTGAAGAGCTTTTATTAATTAATTCATCCATTCAATTGTTTTCTCATTTTCCTTGAATCCCCTACTTATTTTACCACTTATTAAAGAAGAAATGAAAGGAGTACAGTTGAGTAAAATAAATTATATTTGCGAAACGTTTGAAACTCATTTAGGTAAATTGGGCAGAGAAATGTATAGAACAGCAACATAAACTGAAAACGATGGCGAGGAGGCCTTCAGAAATTGCCAAACTTATATAAGGTAGAACTGGTGTCGTAATGAGTGACTACGATCGTTACGAATGGTTGTCAACTTTAAAATGATGGCTTCGCTCTAGGTGTATTTACAGCGATGAGCTTTCTCACTAATGATCGTAACATTTTTGGGCGTGGGTCATAACATACTTGAGGTTATCCTCTATCTGAAACTAAAATTTCTTTCTTAATAATTTCAAACTGGTAAAACTGCTAAAAGTTGAAGAATAATGCCGCATCTTTCAGTGATCCTAGGACACTGAACGATGCAGTCCTTTCCTGTTATTTGCCAAAAGTCATTTGGCGTTTGTTTTGGTTTTGCATTGCTTCACAGTATTCGATCAATGTTATCTCCGTAGGTCTGGCGTTAGCAGCCTTTTTTAAAAAAATGTTTTAGCTCTCTTAAAAACTTAATCCGCTCTTCATTTCTGTTGATTCACTTATCGCTTACTTTCAAATCCCCCTTTTCGGACACTCGCTTAATACGGAACCCCTCATTATTATGGACAGTTTGCTTTGTCCCTGGGGAACGAAAGCCCTCATAGTTTGTCTAAATTTAAGCCGCCTAATACGAACACTTTCTATGGCCCCCTCAGTGTCCGTGTTGACGGGGTTTGACTGTATTTGGGGTTTTAAATTGGTATTTGAAAGAGGCAGCGGCTCAGTTTCCTCTTTTCAGTTTTTGTTCCAAAAAGAAAGATCTTTAGCGATGTTCATTTATTTTTACCGTTGTTAAAACTTTAGGAACAGGGGATACGTTCATGTTTTTGACACAGGCAGAGCTTAATCCATATCTAAGATGTCACCGAAATGTAAGAGGCCTCGAAGAGTTCCCAAATAAAACCAACACGGGCCCACTTTGATACTTAACGGCTGCCTACAGAAAAACTTTGTGAGCCCAATAATTCCCTTTGCAGTGTCTGTTGATGGTATCAGTGATTTTATACGGTAGATTTTTTTTACTTCTCACTTGGGAGTTTTCTCTTCCTTGTCTTGCCCTTCTTCGTTGTCCTAAAAGAAGCGTAATAAATCTTTTGCAAACGTTTCTATCCAGAAGTTGTATAGCAAGATGCAAATCTATACACGTTGATTGTGTAATCTACCCATTCACAAACATCATGTTGAACCTGTTATCATATTATATCTTATATTCGTCTTTATTTTACGTACTTAATAACTTCGCTTATAACACATATCTAAGAGAAATACAAAAAGTGGCCGGAATAAGTAACAGACGCAAATCATTGAAAAAAGACTACAGACATGAAAAATTCTTAATTGTATCACAGGGTATAAGCTACACTGTGCATGTTAGGCACCTTCCAATTGAATAATGTCGTTTTAAGATCTCCGTCAATAGATAAGGGAACGGCAGCACTATAATTGTTAATTCAGGTCGAGATATTACCCCGCTTGAGTGCTTCTTTAAAGCCTAATTAGTACAGCTTGCATTATAAGCAAAGCGGTAAAATTTTTACAACAGTCATTGTTTACGTAAACTCTCTGTCTGCTAGGAAGGTTTATTTTATATCCGTAATCAGGATGATGACACCAAGCTTTTATTTCTTGTAGTGTGGTTTAAAAGCATTGATGAACTAGCTAACGATTTGAAATTTTGCTCACTATCCATCGTAAAAATGAAACTTTATGAAGGAACAGCAGTTGTTGCTACGATCCTGTAAACTCTTACCCGCTTTTCTGCCATTGGAACCAATCTACAAAAAAGAAACAAAAACAGATTATGTCAACACTTACATGGTTTAAATAACCTGTAAAATTAATGTGAACAATACTGACTCACTTGGGAAGTTCAATGGATACCTACAGCTTCGTCCGAAGGAATAAGTGCACCTCCCCCAGTTTTCGCTCACTAGGTAAAATAAAGATGGCGGCCTTAAAGTTGGTCCTCTTTGGCGAGAAACGCGCCTTAAGATAGTATACGGTTATTAGGTTGTCCATACCTTTTCAAAAAGCCTAGATTCTAGTCGACAAATACAGCCGCCTCTCCTCGCTGTCCTTCCTGTGATCTGCGACAAAGGATGTTATCTCCGTGTTGTCAGAAAAAGGTTTCTATACGTCGAACATTTGCGTGTTTGTGTTTGTTTGTTTGTTGTTTTTTTTTGACAAATTTAGTGGATGACTGCTTTAAAGTAACGTTAACAGTAAGAGTTGTAACGTTTATTAGACTTTGTGTCCTATTGTGTACAATTATATTATTAACATCGTGGGAGTAAAAAAATGCATTAGTCTTTATGGTGGATACAGTTGGCCAGATCTATTGTGTGGGATAAAAGATGGATGTGAAGATGTATTTAAGGCAGATAAATATATCGTAAACATATGTGGCTTTTGTACCTTCACTAAAAATTCTTTTATTGCAAAGTGCTCCTGCAGTGTTGTAACAAAAGCAGCTAATAAAGTCATATGCCGTGAGGTGGATCTTGTCAATTAAACTGAAAAGTCATAAGGTGCCCTGCTGTGATTGTCATTGAATGCTCTTAAAAGGAATAGTTCAGTTTGAAAATGAGTCGAAAAAAGACAGCTTCCCTTGTGCTATCACAGATAAAGTTCTATCATTTTTCTAGTGTTTAAGAATATTGCAATGAAACGTAGTCCTCTGAGTGCCTTAAGTATAAAAACATGTCCATGCTGAGCAATTGTCTCGTCGTGTGCGAGTATTTAGAGCTAAAATGGCTTGCAATTAATAATGTTTACCCCAAGCACAGCTGTTCTGTAATCTAATGAAGGCGTGTGGCAATCGAAAGTGGTTAATGCTGCTAATTTCTGCTTTTTACGTTCCTCGGCTCATTGAGTGAACAGTACCGTTGCATACTTCACTTTTAAACTGTCCATTCCCTTAGGTTTTCGCGAGTTCGAAAAAAAGGGGTTCCAAAAATCTTGGCCTGGCTACTTGGTTGAATGTTACGATGTCACTTGCACAGATCAAGTCGACTCTCGTTCTCCCGTCGAAAAATTAACGTTCGTTGACAATAACTATACCAAACTGGGTAATATAAAAGCAATATGCAGTGATCGCTTGTCCAAAATCTTCATATACCTGGTTTTAGATTCCTCTTTTATTGGCTTGTTCAGTGTATTTTCATTTGTCTTCAATGCCGATCCGCTTCTCGCTTTTCGTCATTTAATGTGCACTGCGATGCTTGGCGTCAGCGGATGCGAACCTCAGCGTATGCGTTTGCTAATAGCTGGGATTTTGAACGGTTTGTAGGCAGTTTTCTGTCGTAGGCACTAAAAACACATTTTTTTCTGCCGCCGAAAAACTAACGTTTGACAGAAACATAAAAGGTAATAACAATGATCTCTTATTCAGAATATTCACGTACCTGGTTTTAGATTCCTCTTTTATTGGCTTATTATTATTTTTCTTTTGTCTTTGATTTCGATCCGCTTCTTGCTTTTCGTCATTTAGTGTACACTGCGAGGCTCAGCGTCAGCGGATGCGAACATTAGGGCCTGCGTCTGCTAATAGCTGGGATTTCGAACGGTTTGTAGGCAGCTTAGGCTCTTAGTACACTTTTTTACGTTGCAAGTCTTAATCTCAAACCTTCAGAAAGGGTGAGACCGTACTGATTAAGGAAGTTTGTTCCTTGCTCGCTGGCTATTAAATTATCCTCCGTTTTTTGCAAATAGCCGTGAATGGTTCCCTCGGGAGAAAGGAGATGCGAGAGAAAGGAGTGGGGAAAGAAAGTGAGAGCTCATTACCACTAGAAATGGAGAAGACGTTGCTACCAGTTCATAACATTTCTCGGTAGTCGTGCGCGTTCGCTATTCGGTGAGCCACTGCAGTTACGTTAGGAATTCCGAGGAAAAATTCGAGCTATTTACATACTAAGCAACGTCCACTGTGGCTCCAAGTCTCTTTTTTCACCCGTTTCAACCAACCCGTAACAATCAACAACATTGCGGCTGTTACACTTCTCAAAAAAAAAAAAAATTCTCACGTATGATACCAGGACACATAAGTGTACGATCCGATAATGTCTTTTTGTTTTTGGAAACGAAAGAAGAATTAGCGAAAGCAATAAAAAAAAAAAAAAAAAAAAAAAACAGGGGGGGGGGTGTGTGATTAAAAAAACAAAGAAAAACCCACAAAGGCCCAAAAAGGCCCTAAAAGACCCAAAAATGTCTAAAAGGTACTACCCCGGGGTAAAAAGGATTAAAAAAAGCCCCTACACCCGGGGGGGGGGGGGCGGTACTCCCATACATTACCTATATGGGTATGTGCAATGGTCGAGAGTGATACACAGACAAAAAAATTATCGCCCCAAGAGGGTGTTTTTTGTTATAAAAAAAAAAAAAGAAATAGCAAAAGATAAGAAAAAAAAAAAAAAAAAAAAAATAGCGGAGAATACAGGAGCGGAAATGCGGGATCAGGACCCCCTCCTTCCACACCCTGCCTTAACTCTAACCTAAGTTTTATATGAGCGCGAATTACTGTCATAAATACGTGATTGCTGAAATCATCTTGATTCGATAAAAATGAACGTAAAATGATCCGCCAAACAAATTTGAGCTTGGACATGGCTCCTGTCGTGGCTCATTTCTAATCGGTCAAAACATTGTCTAAACATTTATTTTGAAGCAATGGCCAATTTAGACAAAAATGTCGCCTCGTATGGTCAAAAAGTCTTCTTATTTTTTGTCTTAATTTTGCAGATGATAAAGCACACAACAAACAAGGAATGGCCTTTTTTCCTTTTTTCTTTCTTATTTTCTTAAATAAACTATCTTCGAGTGTTACTATTTCAGGCCGTTTGTGATCGTAGTCGTTGATTGATGCAATATTTATTTCTGTCTGTTTAGCACAGTACTTAAAAACGCAGACGTTTCTGTTTTGTGAAGTGGCATTCAGAAAGTGCCGCAGAACCCATTTTTCTCATCTGTATTCTCCAATATTTCTGACTGCAAGCAGCTAAAATTTTTGACGATGTAACTATTTTGTAATTTCCGGAATTTAAGCGAATTAATATATTTTTCTAGTTATTTGAATGCAGTTGAAAGCCATTTACTTGACCAGTCAAATTATTGCGTCCGTTTATTATTCCCTGCCGTGCTTTCGAGCAGTGTTTTGTGATGGCAAAGATTCAAATTTGGATTTTAATCAGTGAGAGTATGAAGCAGATATAAATTGTTTCAAAAGATCTATTCGTTTCTTCGTATACACTTCAACAATTCAATACATATTTGAGAAGTTGGGAACAATTTGCGGATAGTGATGTATTATTTGACACGTTTTATTGAAAAATATCTTGACCTATTATTTCCGACAGGTTGGTGATAATAATTTTGACACATGTACTGTTGCTTTCCATTGTGAATCTCTTAAATATAATTGTTTCTCGATTGTCTTTCTCCGCCTCTTAACATTGCCACATGGGGGAGAATTATTTCTAGACTCGACAAAACAAAGTTGCTGATGCTAATTTGACTGCCCATGGTTTGCTTGTTACACGTTGAGTTAATTGAACGGTCTATTCTATTTTGAACTGTCACTAAAAAAATCAACGGCTCGGTAACTGAATTTGCAAATAAAATGTTTGCCCTCCTAGAGGAAATATTAGTTTTCAACAATATAAAAACAAAGTAAATTATGAAGCGCAGGCTATCTTGTTCAATGATGGAATGATCGCCGCTAACGACCAAACGAACGGACATTGTAAGCAAGATAATGTTAACGATGCTATTTAGAGGTTTTCTATTAATCTTTGAGGTGGGATATTTTAGTTTCTTGTCTACCTTGTTGGAGGTGAGACATTTTTAGTTTCTGTCCACCTTGTTGGAGGTGAGACATTTTTAGTTTCTGTCCACCTTGTTGGATAGTCGGCGATTTCCCAGATTTGTTGTTAGGCGAAGTTTATTTTCATGATTGAATATCACTGTTATCTATTACAGATAATTTGCGTTCAACCCTATCTTGATAGCTTGGGTTTTTTGCGACCGAAGCTCATGTTAACTGTACAAGATTAAGGAGATATGTTTGTAAATATCCCTCAGTCCTCAGTGAGTGCTTTATACCTCTGAATAACCTCTAATTTACTATGCGAGAAGTAAAATGTCCTTAATCATATTTCTCGTGCCAGCTGGTTTGTTTTCACTTAATTTTAAGTTAGAAATATGGACGAGAATGTGAATGAGTAAATTCCCTGGTGAATGCAATTATCATGTCGTTTTCCTTGAAAAAATGAGCTTCTTCCCTTTGAAAACTCTTTCTCCCGGTGGTAAATTATGTTGGCTAATTGTGCTGGTATTCTTATTTCTCAAACGCTTAGAAGGTTTTTAGAAATCTTTTAAAACGTTTAGTAAATTGGAAGTGTGTTGGCGCTATATTAGACTTAAACAGTGTAATGGACAACCTTAGCTTTGAAATATTCTCATAGCTTTTCGTTTGACTGTGATCCGAAAAGTCAGCATTCACTGGAGCTTGAAACGAAAACAAGTTTGGTCATTCGCATGCTCTTTCTAAGAACGTTACTTTGGACGACTTGTAAGATGGTTCCAAGCCACATCTCTTTATAGCTATTAAATCTTGACTTACCCTGGCTTTTGACTGTTAGGCCTGTGATTGTATGTCCAGGCGCGTACACGAGACTGCTTGAATCTTGTTTAGTTACCCAGGCCAAGTTTGCCAACTAAAATCATAGTTTTCAAAGGTTTACAAATGAAACGTTAATAATTGATATTTAGATCTTGGCTTTAAGTTGCGTATAGTGATGTATTATTTAACACGTTTTATTGAAAGATATCTTGACCTATTATTTCCAACAGATTGGTGATAATAATTTTGACACATGCACTGTTGCTTTCCATTGTGAATCTCTTAAATATAATTGTTTCTTGATTGTCTTTCTCCGCCTCTTAACATTGCCACACGGAGGAGAATTATTTCTAGCCTCAACGAAACAAAGTTGCTGATGCTAATTTAACTGACTATGGTTTGCTTGTTGCACGTTGAGTTAATTAAACGGTCCATACTATTTTGAACTGTCACTAAAGAAATCAACGGCTCAGTAACTGAATTTGCAAATAAAATGTTTGCCCTCCTAGAGGAAATATTAGTTTTAAACAATATAAAAACAAAGTAAATTATGAAGCGCAGGCTGTCTTGTTCAATGATGGAATGATCGCCGCTAACGACCAAAAGAACGAATATTGTAAGCAAGATAATGTTAACGATGCTATTTAGAGGTTTCATAAATCTTTGAGGTGAGACATTTTAGTTTCTGTCCAGCTTCACCTTGTTGGATAGTCGGCGATTTCGCAGATTTGTTGTTAGGCGAAGTTTATTTTCATGATTGAATATCACTGTTATCTATTACAGATAATTTGCGTTCAACCCTATCTTGATAGCTTTGGTTTTTTGCGGCCGAAGCTTATTTTAACTATACAATTTTTAGGAGATATGTTTATAAATATCCCTCAGTCCTCAGTGACGTGCTATATACCTCTGAATAAGCTCTAATTTAATATGCGAGAAGTAAAATGTCCTTAATCATATTTCTCGTGCCAGCTGGTTTGTTTTCACTTAATTTTAAGTTAGAAATATGGACGAGAATGTGAATGTGTAAATTCCCTGGTGAATGCAATTATCATGTCGTTTTCCTTGAAAAAATGAGCTTCTTCCCTTTGAAAACTCTTTCTCCCGGCGGTAAATTATGATGGTTAATTGTGCCGGTATTCTTATTTCTCAAACGCTTAGAAGGTTTTTAGAAATCTTTTAAAACGTTTAGTAAATTGGAAGTGTGTTGGCGCTATATTAGACTTAAACAGTTTAATGGCCAACCTTAGCTTTGAGATATTCTCATAGCTTTTCGTTTGAGTGCGATCCGAAAAGTCAGCATTTACTGGAGCTTGAAACGAAAACAAGTTTGGTCATTCGCATGCTGTTTCTTAGAACGTTACTTTGGACGATTTGTAAGAAGGTTCCAAGCCACATCTCTTTATTAATAGCTATTTAATCTTGACTTACCCTGGCTTTTGCCTGTTAGGCCTGTGATCCTTCAGAAGAAGAACCTTTACTGAGACCGCGAATTTCCGCGTGATTGTATGTCCAGGCGCGTACACGTGACTGCTTGAATCCAACGGAGATCAGTGATTGGCTGTAAAACAATAAGCACGACGATCACTTGTCAGTAAATGTGTCTCAGAACTTGTCTTATTTTCTCCGAGTTGTTTCTTCCGGAATCGTTCAGAATCTTTTTTCCACCACGAAAGGGAGTTGAAGATCTGTCGCTTAGAGTAGTTTTTATACAGTATTAGGCCTTTCTAAGGGGATTAGGGGGAGAGCGGTTTTGAAAAGATTAAGGGAGAAGGCGGAAGGTTTCCCCCTTTTTGAGCTATTTTGAAAACATAGCTCATATGTCAGTGGTGTAAGCGTATGTATCTTTGTGGGTTTGTGGGTTTGTTTGTTTGGATGTGTGTTGCAGGGGCTAATAAGGTTGAAGGTACTATGAGGTATTGTGCAAGGAACCGATGAGATTTTGGCATCTAAACATTGCATTGTTGCGGTAAAAGTCAAACAAGGGTACTTTGAGACCGTTATATTAGTTGTTCACAATTTCATTGTGTTTTAATACGGCTTAAGGTGTTTAGAAGCATAAGATTTAAATATCTTCATGATTCAAACGTTGAGTACAGCGATGCAGCGGTTTAAGGGTTCATATTTTAGTGTGGCTGCTGGTTTAAGACATTTATGACCTAGTTTGGCTATCGCGAACGATAGGTGATTTTAGGTGAAAGCAGGTGAAACATAATTCACCTGCTTTCACCTAAAATCATAGTCTTCAAAGGTTTACAAATGAAACGTTAATAATTGATATTTAGATATTGACTTTAAGTTGGAAGTATGCGTAATTGTGTTTTTAGAAGCTTGAACAAGAGCCGATTTTTTTAAAGCTGTACCGACTAAAAGTAATTATGTAAACGTGCTTTATTCTCTCTCGTACAAAGATCAAGAGACCTTTAAATTCACGTTCCGGCAACTTAGGTGCAACCATATCTGATACATGTTTGCTGTCATAAAAGTAATTAAAACATAGTATTTAATTTAACCGGTGGCTAAGTAAAGATGCGTAACTTTTGCGTTAGCGAATTAACTTGGAAGTAGCCAGTTGACGAAATAATTTGTTTCATTGAGTGGAATAACATGAGATGAGTAGAAGTCGGTTTTTCAGCAGACAATCATTCTGTTAGAAGTAAAGTAATAAATCATGCATTATTTTATTGCAGATGTAATAAAAAGAGGTGATTTGTTAAAATCGTTTAAGCAAAGTAAACAATATGCGTTCTTTCACGTACAAATTTTAAAAGGGGCAAAGTCCAACATCTTCACGTGCAAATAATGTGTATGAGTTATTTTTATAATCCTGTTTACTAGATTACGACGTGATAACTCGAATTCTCTCACGTACGAACCACGAAAGGGGGCAAAGTCCAACACTTTTACGTGGCAGCTGTGTGACTGTACATCTCATGCAGATTGGCTTTTCACAGTAATAATAGTAACTTGAACGTTTGAAGACCTGTTTCGTTTTGTAACCAATGCCTTAAGAAGGGCTCTTGTCTTTTAAGAAGCAGTAGCTTTTAAAACATGAAGAATTAAGTTTTCAGATTTAAAGACTGTTTCACTGAGCAGAATCGCACGTGATAACCTTGTGAATTATGATGATACAACCATCCACCACAATGATAAAAATCCTGGTATTTCGTAACTATTCGGTATTCGATGATTGTCTTAAGAAACTCCGAGGAAACCTTAGAGTTTTCTTCTAATCAACGTTTGGAGAGTTGATATTTATTGTACTTTAACAATTTGTTTAACTGGCACCAGATGTATCAGGGAAAGACAGAGGAATGTGAATATATAACATGAGTGTCGACTCAGCTGAGCGTTTCGCGTTTTCATTTATGTACCGCAATACTCAATTTCGCACAAAAACCCAGTCTACATGCGGGATGAAAAAGGTAGATTCATCACTCTTGGTAAGGTTACACTGAAGCATTTAAAATAGCTCATGCACGTTAAACGTGCCTATGTTTTGATTTTGTCCTTAGAAAAGCCGGCCTGATGCCCTGGCTGGGATAGTTCTTGAGCTCCCGCTCGTGCGACTGGTTTTTGATTTTCTTCGAATACCATGTAGTGGATGCGTCGAAAAAGTGGTCCACATGGATGATATAAAGTGAACATTAACGACGCGGTTTTATGATCCACATTAGGCATGCTTCAAGAAAAGAACTAAAAACTAAAAGGAGATTAACTTTGTTGACTTCGTTATGCTTTCTTGCAACCGAAAAATCGTAGGGCAAATATTAACGCCGACGGGGTGTATCGCCTGATACCAGTCCTCCGATTTGCCACCATGTGACCAAAAATTGCCTGTAAAATCGCGCGAAAGTTGGGCCAGTAGAATAATTATATGGCTTAGTTTGATTTTCGCACTGTGATTGGTCAATTTTTCATATACATCGCCTCATGTAAAGGAATCCCGATTCCGGAATCAAGAAATTTTTGCTTTGTGGGATCCAGATGGGAAAATGTGCTCGTGGAATCCTAAATCCTGGGCTTTACAATCCGGAATACAACTGAAGGTCCCCCTAACGATTGCAATCTAGAATCCAAATTCCACTGACAAAGACTGGAATCCAGTACCTGGAATCCGGAATCCACCGTGTGGAATCCAGAAATCAAGACTGTCTTGGATTCCCTTACACGGGGCGGATATACAGTTAAATGTTACTGGTTTAGAATGAGAAAGCTTCTGTTGCTATTATTAACTTTTCCCCTATTGAGGCCACATGGATACTGGATATCCAAGAAACAAGAATCACTTCGTGAATTTTACCGGGGCCACTTTTGTCTTGGCAACCCACGTGGAAGGGTCGTTTTCATCAACAAGTTTGTCGGGCGACATGAAAATCTTTTTTATTGCAAATATTCTTTAGAGATACTTTTTGAAACAAAAGAAGTTAATTTTTAACTTTTCTGTTAACCGTAACTGAAAAAAATTAACCGATAGCCGTAAAAGAGCCAAAATTTTAGCCGATAACCGTAAAAGCCACCACCCCATTGAGACCCTCTAACAGGGCCAGTCGGCACTGGGAGCTTAACCAAAGACGTTTTTGTGCGACACACGCCACCCGGAAGTGAGGCCAGTTCTACCTTTTTATATGCCTTGACGCTAATAACTTTGTATTGCTAAGTGTCTTTACTCTTATAAAGAGCAATTTACCCAAGCGTTCGAACCAAACCACTGCCCAATGATGCAAAAAGTCCACTTCCGGTTGACGTCCGTCGGTCAAAAACGCTATTGCTAAGCTCCCCATTTTTTATGAAGGAAATAACGGCGCAACGGGGTTTCTTCATCTACCGATCAAATTGTATGGGAGTAAAGTTTCGATCTCAAATTTGTAACTATGATGCGTGGGTCGGCTGCAACGCAGGCTAATCAGATTGTTAAGACAGCGTAATATGCAGAACCAGACTTTTAAGTTTCGCCGAAAAGAACCAACGCCTTATTTGACTTTGAACAACTTGGGCAATATTTTGATCCAACGTCCTATACATAAGAAGGAGAAGGGGGTGAGAAAGGTTTTTGAGGCCCCCATCAATTTAACGTTGAACAAGAATCACTTCGTGAATTTTACCGGGGCCACTTTTGTCTTGGCAACCCACGTGGAAGGGTCGTTTTCATCAATAAGTTTGTCGGGCGACATGAAAATCTTTTTTATTGCAAATATTCTTTAGAGATGAAAACAAGGTGTAATGAATATTGTGAAAAGAGAAAACGTTAGGGAATCCCCCATTTTGAACAGTTGAGAGTTTTTGCATGTCGCTAATGTAAATATTGCGTGACTAAAGTTAGCTTTGATAAGTGTTCGCATTGATTCTCATGGAAGGTTCACTCAATGTAGATAACTTTGATAAGTCGTTTATTTCCGCGATAAGTTTCACGATGGAAGGTTCACTCTTAAGCGATGGCTCGTAAATTTGTCCCTCCAAATGTTCACTCTCAAGTTTTCGCTCATGAACTAGTACACTGTAAAGGTTGGGGAACGTGTCGTTCCCAAAAAGCTATAATCTTTCACTTGACTCTCCTCCATACTTCGTGCTTTTCAAAATGGCGGATAAGATTTCAATGAACCAGCGATATATCTCAGCGAACACTCCCAAAAGTAAAGAGCCAGCGATATATCTCAGTCAGCGATATATCCCTAACAATGTAGCTTTGAAAAGACAGAAACGCGTTGCATTTTATGACCGGTGCCAGCCTTCGGCTAGGCCCCGGTAATAAGTCAATCAAGAATATTAACCAGAGGTACTCGATTTTACAGACTTTTCTCAACCTAAAAATGTATGTGGAGGCCTCATTGAAAACTAAGCTAAGGTTGCCTTTGCGTCTCATTAAAGTCGGAAAGTTGAAACGATTTAGAAGTGACTTGACAGCCATCCTTGAACCGACTTTCTGTCTCTTGGGCGATAAAACAGGGCAGAAAGTCAATCAACTCTAATTAACCTCGGACTAATCTTGAAAAACGCCCAAAAATCCCGCGTTTGTGAAGCGTTTAGCAAGAAAATATTACTTTCCCCTAGACTTTACCTGAGATGTATTGTAACTATTCGATGATGCTATTATTACATGCATTTTATTCCTTAGTGACTCTTTCAGTGCTATTAGCGTGAGCAGAGCTTTTGATTCGCTGTAAAAAAGGTTGTATTGTTTCTCTCTGAAACAGTTAAATGGAAGTTGATGAGAATTTGACGAATTTTCATTGCGAAGCTCTCAAATTTGATTGATCTTAATCGCCATTGTCTTGTTCCTGAACATTGTCACTTTTTTTACACAGTTATCTTTAAACTCATTCAGTGCTGGGGATACGGAAATAAGTATTAAACAATAGGAAAGCTACGTGAATATTAAGGCTCAAACTATCTCGTGCGTTGATGCGATCGGCAAATGTCATAAACGAACAAAAATGTTTGCATTGCTCGTACCAAGTTCCATAAAACTTTAAGGTGTCATAATTTAGTTTCTCCGGCTTCTTCTCGTTGGACAGCTAATTTCGTAGAAATGTCGTCATTTGATGGGTATTTTTACTCTCAATCATATCTATTACAGACCCCATTTAAATACAGTTCGGTTTACTCGCGGCTGAAGCTTGTATTCTAGTAATACATAATTGAGGAGACATGTAGTGATCATCCCTTCACAGTCGCGAACTCTTTTAGTTCCCTCTTGCCTTACCTGCATGCAAAATACACCTGAATGGTCTCGCCTTTATAATAGGTTGTACCTTTTCCTCACACCCGATTTCGTTAACATTTAAAATCTTTAAGCCCCTGGAAGAGAGAACACGTTTGCTCGGGCGTTTGGTAATTGATAAGCAGGTTAGCCATCAAATGTTTTCTTACCTTGAACTTCATAGCTCCTCTCCGGTAGCGCGGAAGCTCTGCAGAGCTCTTAGCCCTGTATCTGGTGACTGTTGCTTTTCGTAGGCTTTCTAAAAGTGTTCTTGTCAATATTGGCCGCAGAAATCACTGATTAGCCGTATCCAACAATAAGAACGTCAATCGTGCTTCATTGAAAGGGTGAATCCCTCAGAATTTATCTTGCACTTTTTGAGAATGGTGTCTTCGGGGATCTTAGCGCCATCGCCGCCAAGAGGATTTGAAAGAATCTGTCGCCTAGTGGAAGTTCTTTAGCTCGCGACTTGTGAGATCGGTTTTCGGTTTTCCTCAAATACAAGGTTGCAGCTTTGTGCGAGAGGAAAGCGCGCCGCCTATCTCAATCATCATTAATTCCCACACTTGTAACTAGCCAGCTGGTTTGCCCCAGCGTCGGAATTCTCAGTCTTGTTATGTTTGATTTAAATTTATTTATTTCAGACATTTGCTAGGCCCATAATCATTAGTGCTATAAATACTCCCTATAGGGTAAGCAAAGGACATTATTATTATTATTATGCCGGTAAGAAGCTAGTCTAAAAGAAGCGTAAGAAATTGTATAAACGTAACCGTGGAGTTATAACGTCGCATTACTGACAGAGTTATGTCAGAATTATGGTGATGTTTCGTACCAAATCGTATGATGTTATAGCATTATATACTCCATATTTTATCCTAATTCTCGTATTTTCATGCGTCGTTGTAATTTTTCCACTGGCCAACCAACCGCATAAAATCGTGGTATTGTTACCACAAACCTTTGCTTTGTGAGCTTTTCCGACCTCCTGGGGAATAATACATCTCGTGGTGATATTTCGATTGTCTTAACTTTAAGTTGCCTTGGAGACTGCATGTATAATATTTCCAAGAAAGAAGAAATGTCAATTTTAATAGTGTCTTAAACACAGTTCCGAGAAAAACAGACTCAAATTCCTTGAATTTTCATCTACACTTTTCTCTTTAGAGTGGAATTTTTTAACGTAGTGCAGGTCAGAAAGAAATAGCGTAAAAGAAATTCAGTCCGTCGATTTTTTTTGAGACCAAAAACTGAAGACCCAGTCAGTCTTCTTCTTTTCGATGATAGAAGTAACTTTAAATATACGTTTTGTACGATGTTACACCTTGGGGGGTGCTGGCGAGTTGGCTATTTGCATCAACATACATGGCTGAGTTCCTTGTTGGGTGTGTTTCTAACACATCCTCTAAGTTACTTTACTTCAGGACCGAGGAACCTCGACAGATATAACAAAGTCCTTGGCAGAAAGAAGAATATACCTTACCCCGGTACTAGTAAAATGTACTGAAATGAACCTCGATATAACGAAACGTAGGTATGGCAAACATTTAACCAGCCCCTTCGCCCTTCGTTTTATCGACGTTCCACTAAAGTAGGATTAGTTTAGGAAGCAGAAAGAGTATGTCAAATAGGAAACCATCTGTAGCTTCTATAGTAAAGTGGATTGAGAATGTGGCTTGCTCGCCAGCCTTCGTGGCAGGCCTTTTAAAGGGAAAGGGAGGGAGATTGAAATTGTGTTTTACCTCGTCTCAACGGGTATGATTGTTTTAACTAATTATACACCCGAGTACGAATTTTGTACCTCTCAGTTAGATATTTCCATTTTGTGTTCTATAAATATGGCATTATGTCCGGCAAGACACGTCTTTTTTTATCTTATTGAAGTATCTTGCCTCGTACACTGCTTGTAGTACATGTAGTGAGTTTAACATGACACGGCAACAAGAATGACAAAAACACAATGCGTTTAATAAGTAACACAACAACCTTACACGTTCGTTGCACTTTTTACACTTTTTGCTACGTTGCTGTATCATTAATGCATGACTAGGAACTGAAAGTTGCCTTTATATAATTTTACATTACAACACATACAGATGAAAACGTTGTACAAAATAGAACAGACAGAATTTTTAAGATAAATAAAACAAGAGAATAATTATAATGATTAACACAGTAGGATCAGGGTCCTGATTTTCCTATGGGAGATAAAAGTGAAAAATAAATTAGCTTGAGCTTTTTATGTTACCAAGTCACTTCACTTAGATTTTGACAAAATTCAGTCCTAAGTCAGTGTTAAAAAAAAGTGGAAAAAAATTGCGATTGAAAAATAACTTAAAATATCGGTATGGTGGCCGGAAACCAGTTCGAAGTCCACTATATATCCCACAAAATCGTGCGTTTGCTTGGCTACACCACGTCAACAAAAATCTTCAGTTTATCATTAATAAAATCTGGGTTGTAAGCTTGATAAAAAAGGTTAATGGGTTAGCTTTGGTACTCTTACCCCCGGCCCAGTAGGGACTTGTAGACATGCTGTACCGCTAGAAGAAAAGAAATTCAAAAGCAGTTAGTATTTAAACATGACCAAGGTTTAGGAACAATCTTCCTTTGTCTCCATTTCGAACTTTCTTACCAAACAGGGTTATGTCTACCACCGAGGTCCGTGCATTGTCGGACCAAACGCCCTCCATCACTGTATTGTTCCTAAGGGAAAATAAATCACAATGTTCAGTGTATCACAACGTTGCTGCTCCTGATTGACTCAGAAGCATTCAGGATGGGCATGATTACGTCGCATGACTTGGCGTAATATATGTTTAGTAATTCGACAGCCTGTTACGCCTAAACTGTTGTTAATTTGATAATTTCAGCGTTGAATGAGCAAACTCTTCTTGGTCGGTTCTAACGTTGCAAAAGAACACCTAGTGGAACTGGTATTTCCACTGATGAAGGGCCAGACCCGAAACGTGTGGAAAGGAGAATTTCAACCTAAACACGGCACTTTTGTTCATGATTTCTTTATTTTTAATGAACATTTTTGTTACTTCTCTTTTCTAAAGTGCTACGCAGCTTAACGGAAATTCTTTCGTCATTTGTTGAAAGGAACACCTAACTTGTAACCTTGTTACCTCCTCAGTTGAGTGCTTTTTCGACTTGGTCCTTATTTTTAATGACCTTAAATGTTTCGAGGAACATGTGATTCTAATGCTCCTTTTACTATGGGAGCAATATTTTAAAATAGAATTGAAGTACGCCTAGACAGATGGGTAAATTAGGGATTGAGTGCTACAAGTCTATTGAACACAAAATCATCGTTTAGTTTAAGCTTATTTTGCGCCCAAATATTTTCTTGCAGCTAGGTGTACTGTCTTGATATAAAGTCCATTAACATCATGTTGTTTAATCAATATTGCTTTTCTTTAGATGTCACTGAAGATTTACCAGAATGACATGCAATGTTCAAGGAAGACAATAATAACATTTACCTCGTGATGGTAGCCGGGATCTGGAACGGCTTGAAGATCTTGAGCAGTTTCAGTGACGTCATCCTCACTAATCAACACCAAGTTATAAAGGCGAAGTAAGCTTTCACCGTTTAGCTTTTGTATATCAGATTGATTCCTAGCAGTAAGTCATTTACTGATTTATTTATTCGTTTAATTGTTTCCTTGTCTTTCTTGCTAACTGGCTTACTAAGTTGAGTAAACATCAGTTATATTTGGGAAAGGTTTGAAATATCGGTTTAAGTTTGCAGGGAAATGTTTCGAACAGCTCATATAATAAAGATGGCGAGAGAGCCTCCAGAAATCGCCAAGCTTATACAATGTAAGGAGAATTACTCTGTTACTGAGAAATTTGCAGGATTATATCCTATCAAAAGTTTTAAGTGGAACATGTCATTTCTAACTTCATAAATTAAAACTGGTAAAATTATTGAAAAGGTTCCTAACGATCTTGTAACACTAAGAGAAGCAGTTCTTTTCAGTTGAGGGCCGAAAGTCATTTGCATTAAATACACTACTCGATTTCTCCCCAATGTGTCATCTGCGTACGTGTGTCTCTAGTAGGCTTTGAAAAATATTTTAGCTCTTTTTGGTTTTTAAGAAACCTGACTCTCTCTTCCAGATTGATTGATTCCCTCATCTTATATTTGGAGTTTTAAATTGTTACTTTAAAAGAGGCAGGTGGCCCAATTTTTTTTAACGTGGCTCGACCCAGTATTTTTGTAGACAGGTAGGCTTGCTTGATTTCGAAAGACTGGAAAGTATCTGGGTAAAACTCAATGCTGAGCTCTTTTTATAACTAGGAGGCTATTCTCACAAAAAACAGCGATAAAATCATATAGCCTTCATGCAGAAATTCCAAATAGTCTTCGTCTAGAAATTCCACGACATCTTGAAATTGCACTTCGACATTTTTGTGAAACTTCGCTAGCAAAGAGCATTTCCAGAGAAAGTGCGAATAAGGACTGTAATTCGATTAAGAGCGAAAACCATTGTGACGTCATTGTTACGTGGTATTCCGTTCGCGAAAAATTATGTGTAATGTCATAATAAAGTTCAGTCTATATGTGACCATGTGTTATAATGTATTTACAATAAAGACCAAGTTATTTAAGTATAGGAGGTCCAAAGGTGAAAGGTATCAGTCTATACAAATACTGGATCGAGCTACCTTAAAAGAAGCGCTAATAGCAATATTCTCTTTTTAAGTACAGGAATAGAGGATCTATTTATTGAAAAAAAGCAAAGTTCGGGTGATATTTAAGGGCCTTTGTAGGTTTATGAACAAAAGCAACACACGCCTTACTTGTAGCCGAGCTTAGTAATTACGGTATCTGTTTGATGACTATCAGTGATTTTATACGTTAGATTTTTTACTTTTTACCTAGCAGCTAGTTCCTCCTTAGCCTTTTCTTCATCATTTTTCTGAAAAATAGCAAAAACATCGTTTGTTTTTGTCCAAAAGTCAGAAGTGAAGATGCAAATCTCTATGTACCTTGACAGAGTGATCTTTTAGTTCACAATCATTTCCACCATGATATCGTTTTAATAAGTATTTTTTTCTATTTCACTAACTTCGTCAATGACACATGTACGTAAAGATAAGTAGATGTTAAAGTATGTTCGTACATCACAACAACCGTAGCCAAATATTGTACATTGTAGGTTGAAAAATAATGTATTAATCGTTTCACGAAGTATAAACCTGAACAGGTTAGACAATACCTTGCAAGAGACCCAGAAAGGAAGCAAACATTGCAAACAGGAATTTAAAATATTGATTTAAAGCCGTGAAATAGTCCGGGTCGAGTGCATCCTTTTAAGCTGTACAAAGGATTTAATAGCATTGTCTAATTCGTCTGCTAAGACGTTCCAGTTGTTGAATATCACAACAAATACCCCTATGTTGAGATAACTGACATGTGTCTGTGTTTTGTAACCCCGCTTACGGAGTTTTTATGTAACGTGAAGCAGTAAAACCTACACTCCACCCTGTGTAATAAAAAAATCCCTGTAAGCAAATTTTTTTTCTTTTTTTATCCGTAAAGAGGTGATGCTACTCAGCTTCCTGTAGTGCATTTAATCTTAGATTATAATCCAGCGCAACGATTTAAAATTTTGCTCAATATTTGTTGGGAAATTTAACGTCGTCATAAGGAAAAGCATGATACTATCTTCGATGCTCTTACCTGTTTTTCAGCCATCTTGAGTCTACAAGAAAAACAAAGAAATTATTTCAAAAATTGGTTTGGGCTTTATTTGTAACCTGTATTTGTGAAAATTGTGTACGTATATTGATAATTATTCATTGAGGTGCTTCAATAGACTATGATTGATCAGATTGATATACGTATCCCTAACTTAAGCAAAACTGAGTGCGACGAAGGCAACGAAATTCAGAAATCAGCTGTAGTACATGTAGTTCAAAGCGTAGTAAAACTCACGAGCAAATTGCAGTCTCCCCAGTTCGCTCACCAGATAAAATCAAGATTTCGGCCGTGAACTCGGTGAGTACTTTTATTTAGTCGTCCTAACCTTTACAAATAGCCAATTTTATCCACGCCAAATTACCATTGGAGTCAAGTAATTGTGTAGATAACCAGATGCAGGGCCTAATTCAGTGACAATATAAATTCTGGTTGTGGGGCAAATGGTGCAAATCGATGTGCAACCAGCGTATCGTTGTGGTTTAATTACGCGGAATACGTCTATTGTCTTTAATAGAAAAACTAGTTTCACCTGCAAGAGTTAATGGCAGTATCATAACAATAGTGTCTAATTAAGAAAACTACACTACGGGCGTTCATTTCAGATAAACTAAAAAGGCATTACACGCCCTGCTGTGATTGTCTTCTTAGTTCGAGAGCTTTAAAAAGCTCTCGAATTGTTCTTCATAGTAGTTTTACAACGTCTTGAAAGTATAGAGGCAGGTTGAAAATAAGGGTCCAAGATGATGCTGTGTAGACAGTTTTCTTCTTGTTGACACAGAACTAAAGTTCCCGTGTTTTGTCCATTTTAAGAATATGGCTATGAAATTTAGACCTTTGTATAAGTTCAATGCATACTGTGTGATTGTCTAGTCGTGTGCGAGTGTTCCGGGTTAAAGTAACTGGTAATTAAAAGCTGTTTACCCCAACACAGCCGTTCCATAAATTGATGCTAAGAGTCATCTGGTGTTTACACTCGGGTGGTACGTGCATCTTATATGCCTCATTTACTGATCGATACAGTAGTGTTGCAAACTTCACCATTTATGCTATAAATTGAACAGTCATGCTTTCTTAAAGAAGAAATTGATTTGTAATGAAACGAAAAAAGTTGGTCATTGACATAAGGCAGCTTAAGCGACCACAACGACGACGGTAGCGATAACCATCCCTCAGTAAAAGGATTTTGCGTTCATTCAAACTGTTCTCTTTTACTTGCTCACGTTCGACCAATGCAAGAGAATTTTCCCACAGTTGAATTTTAAAGTCAGTTCTGAAACCTTATTCAAGAAGAGAAAGGAAAATTCGTTGACATGTGTCCCCGTCCTCCATGAAGCGTTGCGGTAGGAATTTTTAATAGAGAGTTTTAGATCCGAGTTTTCCGCGATCCTCTAACCGCTGGAGGTCACGTGACATGTCTTTCGCCTCACGTTTGAGGTTTACGACGTGCGTTTTCAACGTGGGGAGGTAGGTTTTCACGTATGTCATTTACTTGAAAGCTTTTAGCGTATAATTCTTGTTTTATTCCACGTAATGATACAAGAATCTTGTGGAGCAAGGCGAAATGCTAAATTTGATAAATCCTATTGAATCTTGAAAACAAGTGCCATTCATGGCTGCTGATTCAAAATGGCGGCCGTAAATTTGCAAGAAGAACTAATGTAAGAATTTACTGCTCTTTGCTGCTATATAACCCAGTGTTACCGTAAATTTCTTTTATTTTCATTGATTGATATTTCTTCTATTTTTAAATGGAAAAATAAACCAGAATCCACTTCTTTAATCCACCGCCAATCTAAATCGAATTATGTTTGAACGTCGAACCGCAAACGGGTAACCGCAAACCGCGGTTAGAGGTTCGCGGTAAATTCGGATCTAAAAGTCTCTAATGTCGCAGTCGTGCGGTGGACGTCGTAGAAATGTACCATAAGGTAGGGTTCATGTGCAGAACTGTTGTTTTGCTTTAAAATCTAATTGTTTTTTGGCGTTCTTGTTGACGTTTTCTTCATGGTCTCTCCTGTATACTTAGTGTAATTACAGTGGAACTGAGTCGAGTCAATCGTTGTTTTCCTGTCGAAAGGCTAAAAAATTAAAGGTATACGAAGGTGATAAAGGAACCTGAGAAATATTTCATGATTTATCGTGCAGAATCTTCACATACCTTGGCTAAGATCCCTCCTTAATTGGGTTGATGTGTAGTTTTCTCCTGTATGCTGTGCTAATCGTATCTTGCTGTTCGTCGGGCACACATGTGCACTACGAGTATCCTTGTACTTGCGCATGCTTTAAAAATCGAACAGTCTGTAAGGACCGTAGGCTCGCGCATTTTGAAATGTCAGATGCTGTTCCGATTGTAAGGCAAACATCTTCCATTCTTCCAATACCCAGTCGTTATCTAAAATAACAAAAAAAGGGTGAATTAGAGACCATGTCAGTATACCCTTGCTTAAATGCACGTTGGCCTTTACACTCTCCTCCATCTTCTCGTCTTCGGTGTATGTCAACGGTTTCTAATTGTGTGGCACGTAATCCTGTTCAGAAGGTATTCGTATGCTATGGCTGTCTTTTTCAGTATAATTTAGTACTGATTTGTTTCAGTTCTTCGTATTAGTTCTTCTGTTAAGGAAGGCGTCCGTGATGGGTTTCGCTGTACGTCACTTGTTTTTGTGAACAAAACGCAAGACGTCGAGCCTACCCGAATAAAAATACATTTTGCTGAGCCAATTTGTGTGTCCTGTATCTCCACGAATTTGAGCTGGGAGCAGAAAATAGCAAGATAGGAAATGGTTACTCAATAACTTGTAAGGCTGAGTTATTACTTTTGACTTCAACTCCAAATTCATTGTCCTTCACGTAGCAGTAAACTCCCGTCATACTTTGTTCGTTTGTTTGTTTGTTTTTGCCAGTTTAAGGCACCGTAAGCTCTCCCAAAGCAGACCGCTCTCAAGACGAACACTTCAGCCATCAGTGCAAAGCATATCATGGCTAAATTTCAGTGGTTTGCCCTCAAATAATGCGGACAGCAAGGGATGGCTAGTTCTGGTCAAATTTTAAAACATTTTCCCTGCCAAATATAACTTAACTTTCGACGACTACCCACTGGTCTGTCTACCCAGTCGAAGTGACGAAACAAGCAAGCGAGCAAACGAACGAAGGGGGAATCAGCTCTTGCGTGCGCTGTCGTGTGTTACGTTTGATGTATTCACTCTGAAAAACAAGTGATTATTTGTATCCTAAAAGCCGTCAGTTTTTTAATATCCATTCTGTTTTTCACCTGGTTTATTGACATTTCTCTTTTTAGTTAGATCACAGACGGCTGGTCGTCGAAGTTTCTGCGAAATACATATTGACATTCCATGAAAAATTCCCCGGATATCTCATCTATCCTTGTCTTCTGGTGCAATATATTATAATGAATTTTGTTCGATGAAAGGGAATATTGAGAAAACATTTCAAACATTCTAAATAACCAAAAAAGTGAAGCAAAAGATACCATCGTTTTTCGTAATTTCCAGCGAAAGAAGTTTGCATTTTAAACACTAACTTTCTAAAACTTTTAGTCCAAGATTTAGAAGTACTGAAACGTTTTCGATTCAGTGGTCGCTTGGAGGTATTTGCCCCTTTCTACCACCAACTGAAAATTTCATAGGAGTTGCATTTGTTATTCCAAACATAGTTTACAGGCAGTCTTTCTAAACTCTTCTTTAATCCAGCTTACCTCCAGTTCTTCGGTGTCTTGAGGAGAGGTTATCTACCAGCAGTTTCTAAGCTTCCTCGATTCAGTTATCATATAGATATATGTCTGGTCCCCGCTTATAATGGGCATTTTTCATACCGTCCATACATTCTAGAGAACATTCGTCAAACGTTGTCGTATACAAGGCATTTCTCTTCGCGGAAAGAATCACATCGCCCAACAGTTTACAATTTGCGTACATGATAAAAGTTAGCTAGTCGTTATTTACTCAATAGGAAGTCATGCATTCACTGAGGCATCATTTTTGTATTGTTTGAAGGTAGTATGTGCTAAGACACATCCCGTTTAAGAAGAAGTTTTTTAAGTGAAAGCGCGTTGGCGTTTAAAATTGTGTGCTCAATTTCATCTTTGTTTTCTTGGTATATTCATATGCAATTTTTTCATTTAATTATCTTGGATTTTTTAATCAATTTTAATTTTTACTGACCATTGTCCAGTTTTTGACTGTTTCAAAACAGATAACTCGATTTACAGACACAGAAGGCAATCAAAAAATACGCGCTGTATTCCAAACGAAATAGTTGATGTGTAGCGGCCCATGAAGATTCTCTGCTTAACCGGCCACGGTCATTTTATGAATATACTCGAGATTTGTCATAGCGGGATTGTTTACAATACCTGTCAAAACTGTTATTTGGTTTCCTAGCAAAACATTTGATCATATTCAGTTAACACAAAGGGTCGATTATTTATATTGATGAATATTTTTCTTTATGCCTTCTTGACACTGGACTAATAATTAACAATTATTGAGTGAGGCTGAGAAGGATGTAAAGAATTAGGAGGCCTCAGCCGTGGTGGGTAACATCCACCGAGGCCTGCATAATTCTTCACATCGTTTTTTTTATCCGTTAAGTGGTGATGCTACTCAGCTTATATTTCCTGTTATTAACTTGCTAATATGACGTAAGTGAAATAATTCTTCACATCGTACGGCAGCCGAATTCAATAATTGTTTTATTATTAATTCAAAATATTTCTAAGTTCTAAACATGCTTACCTCCTCGTAGACTTTCTTCACAACTTGACAACTTCACAACTTCACAATTTCTCGGCACAGTATTAGAGGATATAAAAAAGGTTTTTCTCCTCAAAAAGTAGATAACGTCGATCGTGTAATATGCTTTGCGTATTTTTGTACTTCTTCGAATCAAAAAGTCAGCTATTTCGTCCTCGAATAGCCGTGAACTCCATTTTTTTTAGTTCACTCTTGCCCAAGCAGCCTCGTTTTCAATCAAATATACTAACGTTCAGCCTCGTTTCCAATCGAATATACCATCGAATTGATGGTATATTGCCACGTCTTCTAAATATGGTAAGCGCCAGTTGGTTAAGAAGAATTAGTCGGAGGATTGGAGCCAATTAGAAACTGCGAGATATTTTGAATGAATAATTAACAGTGTTTAGGCATAAGAGTTTGGTAAATTAAAACTGCGTTAGAATGCAGGTTTGTTAATCCCGGCTGAACTCTGAATCTCATTCAGTTATCATTTTTTATTAAGATAATAAAGACTAAGAAAAGGAAAAATGCCACAGGATCCGGCATGTCATCATTAGCCTGAAGAAACAAAAGAACCGGTTAAACCCTTAACTAAAGTAAATTAGGAAAATAAGAACTAATTGAACTGACAAGTCCGTTCTAATGTGCAGAGACTACGCAGCATTTCGAGAATATGCATAATCTTCTCTGGCCCAAAAAATTACCACCTCAGAGCGAAAGTTTCGCTTTATGGTTTTAGCGACGTTGCTTTTGTTACTTGTTTACTGAATGAAATAGAAGATTCCATATACACCTGTGGTTGAGCATGACTCGACGCCGCTATCATATTTGGTAGACCATACCTGAAAGATATGTAAAACAGTCGGTTAACTTCCATTCTCGTCATCGATAAAATGAAAGATGAGTAGTGCAAAAACTCATCAGTAGCAGGCAGCCTTTGCTCGCCCTAAAAATACGCCGAATTGAAGGCTAGTGTCAGCAGAGCTGTGCCCTTAAGTGCAAGTGAAACTATGACTTTTAATTAGACGTTGTTGTGCATAGTGTAACGTACGTTTGTCACTGTAAACTGGTCGGAATGATCTGGCCTCTTGCAGTGGCAACATTACAACTAATTATGCTTTTTATGATATCTTTGTCAATATGTCATTTTCGGCTAGGAAACTGTTCATTTGCTCCGGAAAGCAGGTTATTTCACCACCTACCTTCTCGGTTTTTTGTCGAATACGCCTCCCTATTCTGTGATAACTTGTGATTACTACTAGTAAGTTAGCTAGGGTGGGTACTATATGGTGGAGATGATAATTTGTATAGTAAAGTTCTTTATAGACATGACTGTTTTTAGTGTCTTACCTGGCTTGATTTGCCTGGTGATCATTTTGCTGGCGTATAGCTTGGTTCGCGGCGTTGGACCCCTAGTGAGTTAGAGAGAATCAGCAATCTGATAAAACTGAGACATATGGGGGAAGCAAGTGTGTAAATGAGGTTCAAAAGGGAAAGTGAACTTTTCTGAGCGACTGAAATTTGAAAGAAGGAGAGGGGAGTTGGCGTGGGACGTAACAAAAAGGATTTTAACATTCTTTTCAGTGGTTAAGTTGACGTTGGTCACTCGGGCTGCTCGGCCGCGTGGTCAAGTGCTCGGTAAATCACTCGATTTGAGAATCGGTCAGTTTTAGTGAGTGGGTCAGTCAGTCTGTCGGTCTTACGTCATTTCCTGGCGTATTTTTATTAGAGCATAGAATTTAAATTCGCTTGTGTTTTTGAAAAAGGAGTGAAAATTTGCTAACATTTACTTCTTGTGTCAGTGGAATATATTTTTAAGATCATTATTTTGAATATTAGATGTTAGTAAATGTTTTGCGTGAGGTCTAGGAAACAGTATTTTCACCTGCCCAAGCGCGAAGGGCACCACGGGCTGATTTGTTGGTGAACTGCCGGAATCACTGTTTGTATCCATTTCTTCATTGCTAAATGAAAAGGAAAAGTCGGGTCAGTAGCAATCGAAAAATTCTTGTCTCCAGGATATTCAGTTTTTGAAAGGGTATCTCCAAAAAAAGAACGTACTAACATTTTACCATTAAAATTCTGAACACTTGACAGCATTGAGATTGTGTCGTTTAGCTTGCTTAGAAGTTACATGAAGTTTTTGCCCATAGAAAGGTACAGCCGTCTAATGTTATTCAGCAATACCTTTATTAAGTACATGTAAAACCTGAAAAGGCCACCCCATCTGTGAGCGGTATTGTATTACCTAGAGTTTAGCTGGTAAAATCTTGGCGCTGCCAGGTTTACAAACAAGGATATACGTAGAAGCAGTAGCGCGCTTTTCTTTACTGTCTTTTATTTGTACAAAAGTTACTGGAGCAAACCACTTCTTCCTTATTACTAGAATAATACCTTTTGAATGAGCTTAACGCCACTTTGTGATCAGGCAATCACAAATTTCTTCAAATCAAACAATCAAGCAATCAAAAATTTCATCACAGATCACTTGAAATGAACACCACACGTGTGAGAAGGCGCGGGAAAACACTTGCGCGCAAAGCACGATGGACTAAAGAGCCACCCACCCGGACAGAGCCCTCTATTGTCTTGACCCGTTCGGGTGCTCCCAGGTCTTGATAAATGATCACTGAAGCGCAAGCGAAAATTCAGAACTCGTGCTGAAAATATACATGGTTGAGTTTGAAATAGAGTCGGTAAGTGGAAAAATGCGCCCAGTATTGGCTCAGGCATTAAAGCTTATAAAAAGTAGCGATGTAAGAGAATTTGTCCGGTTATAGTTTTATTCACAGCGTCGAGTTGAAAATTGCATGGTTCTACTATGTAATTTGACGAAGCGGGTTGAAAATACACAACGAGCAAGGTCAAATAGAAGAGTCGAGTTTACAAGGTAAAAGACGGGAGTAAAAACGTTTTCCAATGATGCGAAATCTAAAGGAAGAGTGTAAAATTTTGAATTTAGCTGTAAAATTCAAGTAGCGAGGTTAGAAATTTAAATGATTAATTTAAAATTCAAACCATGAATTGTGGCGGGGATCGTACGCCATAGCCTTCATAGTCTGCTATACAGCCGTTTTTAGAGTCGTCACGCAACGCTCCTCTCCGTTGTGGGGAGGAGCTTTGCGTGACGACGCTAAAAACGGCTGTGTTGCAGACTATAGCCTTCATGGCATTAGATTTTCTCCCGGAAGAGTCAATAATCCTTGGTTACCGACCTAGCGTAAGTGAAGACAGCCTAATTAGTGGGAAGACAGTTTTATAAAAAACGCCAAAGCTATCTTTTACCTGCGGCTGTTTTTATACCCAGTCTCGATGGAAAGCAATATTCATGATTTTGTCTCGTCTGAATGGAAATTACTTCTCGTGAAAGAGATGTAAATTGCTGCGCAAATAGTTATGGTGCAGTTGTAATTCCACTTATATTTTCTTGCATCTCTCCAAATCGCAAGTCGAATGTATTTAAACTATCTCCAAAAGCGATCTTTTAAACACATTTTCACTGGCTCAGGTCAAAAGTGAAACGGTTTCCCTTTTTGGCCCCGGCGCAAAATAAGCACGCTGACGTTGTGTACTACAATATTTAAATGTCACTTTTAAATCGATAATCTCTTAGTTATTTACTTTAGTTGTACATTGAGAACCCAGAAGCACTGAGTATTTTTCTTTGGTGTAAGCAATGTTAAAGGGGCTGTGTCATGGCTGTTTCCTTCACTTTCTTTACTATGCTAATTACGCGTCACCCTGGTCCCACAGGTTTTTCTTAAAATTTTTCGGCTTCGCGACAGAGGGAGCAAACCGGGAAGCGGCGACAACGAGTCGCGATTATAATCTTTCTTTCAAACAGTTCCAGGTAAAACAAACTGAAAATTTTTCGGCTTCGCGAAAGAGGGAGCAAGCCGGGAAGCGGCGACAACGAGTCGCGATTGTAATCGTTTCTTTCAGACAGTTCCAGGGAAAACTAACTGAGATTTCGTGAAAGTCGTCAAAATCCGGCGGAACTCAGCCGTGTAATACGCGCGAATGGGATTTGAATTTGACGCCAGTAAGTCTCTTGGCGGCGGTCGTTACAATGACGATTGCTTTGGTTTTCACTTGTTCAGTGAGCTGTGAACTTGGATGCTAGAATTTGACAAACAAGACTTGTAGATTACAGGTTTTTCAGTCACCCACACTGAAATAAAGGATTTGGATGATTTACTCAAAGTTTTGTGAGAGCTTTTTCACAAGCAGAGGACCCGCTGTAGTGATTTCGAACCGCTGTTCCCTTTGTTGATAATGAAACAATATTGACCGTGCCTCCATTTATATAAATGGTAATTTTTAGTGGGTGTTAAGTACAGCTCGCGTGTCGATGGCATACTGGCGCGTGCCCTGCTAATTAGGCCATGGATGTAATTAATTAAATTCAAGGCACGCGGAAAGTACGCGAATAACGCAGACGAAATTTCCTGCCAAGCGAAATATTTGGAATATAAGATGAAGTGCAGATTAACTAAGCCTTCTCTCTTAAGAAAATAGGCGCTTTCAGGAACTGATAGGTTCCTTTCGTTTTGGCTCTTACGTAGACAGTAAGGAAAAAAAACAATCGAGGTCAGTACATTTGCATTAAGTCAACAAACAGCACTTTTTTTCTTCATTCAGAATGAAAACCGATTTTTTTTTGTTTCACGAAATGGCTCCAAAAGAAGCTAACATTTACGTTGCGCGCGTGTCGGTCGTGCGACACAAACCGAAAACAAAAGTGGCCCACTGTGTTTCCGTCGGCCTCCTAAGGCAGAGTGGGCCACTTTTGTTTTCGGTTTGTGTCGCACGACCGAGACGCGCGCAAAAGACGCCTTCAATCAAGAGATAAGGCAGTCTTTCAAATGCAAATCGGGGGCGCACTTTTTATTTGGAAAGTCTATTGTCGAGAACAATTAAGGAGTATTTTATCACCCATTATAACACGGCGTTGAACTGAAGGATTTGACTTGCCGTTGATGATATTTTGCAATCTGTGGATTTCACAATGTACAGGTATTCTTATGGACTACAGTAAGATATCATTTCCACGCACAATTTTAGCTGTAAAAAGCGTACAAAAACTAGCTAGCCTGAAAATGAAAACATAAAAAGGTAAATAAAAAGTTCAGACTTTTTAAAGAATAGAATGAAATTGAGATACCCTGGTTGTCAGGTTTTTTTTCCTAATTCCTGATAGTTTGCGATAAATTGACAAAAATAAACAGTAAACAGTCTGGTGCCAGATTTGACTGCTTCAGTCATCACTAGTTAACGATGATTTCAACAATCCTGAAAACGGAAATAATTTTAAAACTCTTACAGTGTGGTACAGAGCGTGGATTAAACAAATTAAAGCTAATCACAAGCAACGAATGAGCTTGGTAATAAACATTAAATCCTTGACAGTGCCATTTTCCTCTGAAACAATTACCACGACAACAGCAATACTTTATTAAACACGCAACATATAGGAGCGCAAGCAAGACCTATAGGTATTAACTGGAACGTAGTTCTTTTAACGGTTTCAAGTGAGTTGAATGGATGTTAGTTTTGTACTTTTTAAAGTACTTCTTAGCGTAGTCGGGTCTTTTAAGCGATCGCTTTGTCAGACGGCCCGGTATTAAAGACATATGTTAACGAGATTTCGAGAGTGGATAACTTCTTCATCTGCTTTACTCTTACTCTATGGTGAAGGCTAGTTTAAATAGTAGGAAAAGTGCCTCACAAAGTGGCGATACGATCGACTGTTTGCAATTCTGATAATCTTATCAACGACTGAGTTTGAATACAAAAGTACAAAGTTTGCTTGGTTGACTGGACTGCAACCCCGTACTTGAGCATTGCTTCGCACTCTTGACATCCTGTATTTCAAGGTCTCTGGGCCGTGACTTTTGCTCGTGTCTTCCAAACCGCCGGCGAAAGCTAAGTTAAGACTGATTTGGAATAAACACAGGCCTTTATACTCTTACATCGTTGGTCACTGATACATGGCCTTGTGACGCGTTCAGTTCTACCTTAGTTGTCGAATATATGAAAACATTAACTTATTTGCGTTAATGAGTAGTTATCTTTTCTTTCTTACCTTTGTGTATTTTTGTTGTAGTATTCCTTTTATACACGTCTGTGTGATTATTCCCGTCCTCGTTAAACTCTTTCAGTTTGTGGTGAATTTACCCTCCTTTTGACGAGATATGGATTTTAAAACGTCTCATCGGTCACTTACCCTTTTGATTGACATTTGCGCCGCCCATGCAGTTCTGAAAGCGACCATCTGCAGCAAAGGGAGTCAACGACTGAACCATTACCGCAAAATCATAAACAAAAGAGAAATACTGAACTAGAGATGACCCCTGGCTTTTTTTTACCTTTCAAGCCCGTGCAAAAATTTAACCGAGATTTGGGCAATTTCGCCGAGATTGGTTTTTGTTAAAATGTTGAAGGTATTACAATTCGTTCCAGTACGACCCGGCCCTAAGTCGACAAGTGTTTTGTTGGCATACATGCGTAAAAGAAATTCAGTCGGTCGACTTTTTGAGACTGACAACTGAGAGAAACAGACAGTCTAAAGTAGAAACTTCAAATATGATCTTTGTGCGATGTTTCACCTGGGAGAATGCTGGCGATTTGGCTATTTGCATTAGTATGACTGAGTGTCGTATACGGTGTGTTTTTAATGCAACCATTAGTTGCTTTACTTTAGTTAAGTAGACAATTGATTCTGCTTCTACTACTTTTATCACAGTATCAATTTTAAACAAGAATATTAACTAGAGGTTTTGGATGGTTTAAAGGTTTTTCAGTGCTAATCGTTTGAATTAAATGTCGCTTATTTTTGTTATAATACATATCCATACATTCAATTTTAGGCCTCTAAACCAAGCTCTTTGAGGGAGGCCTCATTCTTATGACAGTGTAAGATGGACCTTTGTCTCAAAGAGTTTAAGGGTGACC